CAACTTTCAGTTTCTATACCCCCTGTATGAAAGGGCTTGTGGCCCTTCTTATAGTCACATCAAGTAGGCTGTTGGCTAGTACTTTAATCCATCACAACAAGATTGTTTAAGCTTCAATCTAACTGTAGCCTAATCGGAGCATGACCAAGATACAAGATTAAACTAGTTTGTACTCTAACGACGAAATAACATTGTCACTGTTAAACGCTACTTACGCATCTTAGGCTACGCCAATTATCGATTATTTATTTAGAAGGTCAACTTGGCTATTAACTTACGTTGATAAAATGTTAAATAGGCAATGTTAAATAGGCCGATTTTGATCAAATACATTTAGCCAACTTGGCTTACTACTTTACTTTAGTACTAGCGGTGTCTATAGTTTAGATTTGTATTAATTAATTCATTCAAGATTACGACCGTTCAGTTTAATTAGTAAATCTTTAATATGTAGTTTTAATATCCAGAGACTTGATATCATATTGCTAACCCCCCCCCCCTCCCATTGGGGATGATATAATTAGGTCTTGGGAGTACCCCGATTGGATCTACACTATGAAGAATAAGTTAGTAGGCCTAACCATTAATGTATTTACCATATCATGATCAATTCTGTGTTCATCCTAAGCAGGCCCCCAAAGATTCTATATTTTTATATTAAACAGTATATTTTTTCCAGTTAATCATAGTACGTATGCCGTATGCCTACATTCATTTATTACCCACTTTCGTCAGATAATTATAAAGTGTAAGACGGGTTCGTTTTATTGAATCGGCCAGGGTAGAATACTAGTCAGACCTAGACTACAGAGTCATTCTTAAAGCTAGACCAATTTTAGGGTGAATATGAGATAGCTCTCACCTAAGCGTCTGCTAGATTTCATGAGCACTTCTAGAGCTCTATAAAATCCCCTAGGGTCCCTTCGATAAAATTAAAATAACTAATCAGTTAAAAAGAGTGAAACAGCTTTTTATCGACACCTGAATTTTATCGGCTCCTTCTGAGCATTCCGAGGAGGGAATTTGAGTGTGGCTGGTTCTATGGGTAGGCCTAGTCTTTTTCGTGAATATAATTTTATTTGTTTTTTCTGCGTTCGTTTAAAATGGATTCTTAATTTTATGCTTGATTTTAATTTATAATCCTTGTTGGTCAAACTTCTTGAACCGTCCCAATTTTCCACTCTAATGGGTTAACAGGTAAAATTTTTGAATACGCTAAGTTCAAGCAATACACATTTTGAAGTTCAGTTGTCATGCTCAAAAAAAAGGCACACAAAGATCAAAATCGTAAATCGCTGTCTATTAAAATTATTTAGAAATAACTACAAATAATACCTCATATTTTTAAACATAACTGAGGGTAAATATTTCTGAAAATTTTTTCATCTCAATAAATAAAATCAACAAATATATGCCTATAGGCTATTAATAAAAATGCCCATGTATGAGCGTTTCTCAGTAGGCTATAAAAAATCACATGCATCGCAAATTAGCTAGCATGAAACTTGTTTGCAAAGCCCGGCCACATCTTGTCCAAAAACTTAAAAGAGTTGGTAAATTTTACTATTTTGTCACACCACCCTCTTTTTCGTGTCTTTCCTCCTGGGTCTTTAAAACGGATAGGTGTATTTGTATATTTGGTTAGCCCCTCAAACCGTTGGTAAATCAGTACCAGCCCTCTGACACAACATTTGTGCGCTGCTATCCATTTAATGATCTTTCTATAAAGAATCTATTTTGTATTTTCATAATCAACCATTTTTATTTATTGCTTGTTACAGGAGGGTGCAATAGAGAAGAATTGGAGAGCGAATATGAGTTATATAAGTAGTGTGGATGTTAATGATGTACCTAGTTTTATTGTATGAATAAATATTTTTATTTGGACTCCAGGTTTTATTTTCCAGCATAATTAATTCCTATTCTATTTTTTTAAATATCATAAATTGAAAATATTTTTGTACAGTAAAATGTAAAAAGTACATAAAAGATTCTGTATGAAATTTATAAAGCCGATCATTTCCGTTTTGTAAGATACTTTTATTTACATAACCTAAGAATATAAACACCATAATTTGAAATAGATCAGAAAGAGCATAAAAATATATTTTCCACAGTTAGTTTATACCAATGTCAAACGCTGCTATTGAAAAAAAATTGAAGCCTAACAAATATAAATTGCAGTATTTTTTTAGTAGGCCTAGTTATTTTATCTGTTATGCAGAAAATTCATCAGCTGATGCCTAGGTCATCCATTTGTTTTACAATTTGTTATAAAACTTATTACCTTTGTCTAGGTTAGGTATTTATTTACAAGTTTTCCTCAGCATGGTTCCAACAGATTTTTGCAAAAGATTTGCCAATTATGTCATCAAGATTTTGCAGAACTAAAAAATTTTTGGCACTAGTAACATTGAAAATTAATATGAATACAATTACAGTTCTATGAAGAATTACCGATAATTTTATAAAAAAAATAGGGGAAATATTTTACATTATTTTTATGTCAATTTTACATTTTTTTGCTCAACATAATGATGTCAATTTGGTGTGAATTTGACATCATTTTGCCTAAAAAACTGAGCAATATTACGTCAAATTTACAACAAAAAGACGTCAAATGACGTCAATTTTTTTACATCATTTTTACATAAATTTTATTTTCTTTTTTACTTCATATTGACGTCATTTTGACGTCATATTGATCTTGATTGACGTCAAAATGACGTACAAAATATCATTGACGTTGACGTCTTTGACATCAATTTTACGTCAAATTGATGTACTTGTGCTATGTGGGACGTTTCACGTCGTGTAGTGGTGTATCAGACATAGACTAATGTGCTAAACTCTACTATTACGGTTTGACGTGGTGATCATAGTTCAAAATCCAACCAATACTCCAGTCAATAGAGACTCTAGGATCTACGTTGCGTCGTGATGATCACAACCTCATCGAAAATACGTTCTTCTACGTTACATCGTTGTGCCGCGAGTGTTGAATATAATAGGTAAAGAAGTTGACTAATAACGTGTGACATGATAATAGTGTGTGCTCCAAAAATAGCATAACTGGGGTGCCCCATGTTTGCTTTTACAGCTGCAAATACATACACGCCGACAATATAAACACCTTTGTTTACAATAAAGTTTAAAAATATTTATTTTGCAATTCCTCTTGAGATATCCATTTACTATTACTCTTCCATAACGTAAAATAAATAGAGTTGATCTGCGCTACTTTGAAACAGTACCTAAATAAACCAACATCTCAACGTGCTTCACGTCTCTGTAACGTCTCTGATCTTATCTATTTAAACGTTAACAAACTGCTGACTAAACTAGCACCCATTTCATGAGTTTGTTTCGAAAAACAAAAATAGAATACATTTAAAATTCCAACAAAATCTAACAAAAGATTGGTCAAATATAAAACCTTTGTTTAAACATCAACATAAATTTAAAATGTTTTTTCGATCTCGAAACATTTGCGACAAAAATCAATTTTGCAACCGTAATAGCATATTGTCACACAAGCTTATAAATTGCGTAGTTTCTACCAAACTTTCTACAAATTTTCCACTGAAGGCATCCGCAGAATCGCCAACCAGGTGACGTGTGGAGGCTGTTGACCCGCGCTGGTCTAGGTCAGGTCGGGGCCGAGAGCGGACCCTTGGGGAACTCCGACCAATCTCCGTCTAACATCATGTGACGCGTATTTGGCACGGAATCGAATGAGTTTAATCAATTGTAATAGGAATTCCGCAGGATGTAAAAGTATTCGTGACCGGTTATAATATATCGATGAAATTATTTTATATTAGTGGTTTTTATCAAACTATTTTTTGGTACTAGGTTTATAATTAGCGAAAACATTTTCCCATAGAATATTTGACAGGAAATACTTATTTGTGTTAGTGTGCAAAGTGGCTCTTTGCAGCACATGAGGGAAATGTTTACTCACGAGCCGCAGGCGAGTGTGGAAAGTTTCTCGAGTGCACTCACTTTACACATTTTATTTTTCCTACAGTTACTATAAAGCATATAAATAATTAGTCTTTCAAACACTATACAACACGTTTTTAGGTTACGTTAAATCCAAGCGTTGAACGAAATGGAAACGCTTCCAGCTGATGGTAATCGTAGTATTTTAAAGTGTTGTCACATTATTTTCAAGCGTACCTACCTAATAAAGTCACACTGTTTGTGTTGTTTGGTTAAAATACTGGAGTACGACAAAACAATTAGTGCAACAAAAGTAAGTTAATGCATCAATTAGCTACTTGGCGTACTATAATCAGTGCAAGGAAGTCCACTTTGTCAAGTAACTGTGGGAAAACCTCGTTGAACACTGCATTGATGAACTCATTTTGCATATTAGTTCTGTTTTTCTAGTGGAGAGGTTTTGTTCCTAATCGTAAGATTAATGTTTAATTTTATTTTTACTTTAACAAAAATAATACCCAAACGTGAGTTATATAGGCCGAATAGTTACTCCTCTTGCACTTGGGTACCCTGATAATACGAGTAGCGAGTAGCTATAATTAGTTTGGTGTTTTGGGAGAATGATGTATGAGGGATTTAAAAACCGGGAATGTTTTCGTCAGAACCCACTTTGCTTATCATCAAACACTTGACGTCTTGGCAACTGTCAATGTTAAACACTCTACAATGTTGGGCAGACCAGCAGATGTTGTCTGGGCAGCAGACACACTGTCTGTTGAATCATCTCCGAAATGTGCCAATAAACATTGGAGCAACTGGTACGACGTAGATCGATTTTACTGGTAATAAGGTAGGCTATGGGGTTCGGACCTATTTTCTGCTCGTAAAACCATAACCTGGTTGTTTGGAACCTACGATAACCTGAAGGTTCGCACATACATAACTAAAGTTTGGTTTCGTAGGCAAAGAGTAGTATATCTGCAGGAAATCCGCCTCCACTGAAAATTATTAAATAGTTATTTCTATGTTATACACAGTTAGATTGAAGTACTCACATCGTACGCCCAGGTACATGGTATGCCAGCGAACCTCTGCACACACCGTCCCACCTCCACATCCTCATGAGTGGTGAACAAGTTGCCCAGACATGTGCCGATGTGAGGAGCGATCCTCCTCAGCGTCTCCCGACTCAGGATCATCCCAGGACCTCCCATACAGAAGTTCTCGTCATACTCCAGACTCAACAGTCCAAACTCTTCCTGGTTCCCACGGCCCGCTTGTCCCAGAAAGTACGGTTTCCTGGAATCCAGCGATCTGAGGAACACCTCTAATCTCTCCGTTCTCACATACACGTCGTCGTCCGCTCGGAAAAACCACTCGAACCGGTCACCGAAATTGTCCCACATGTATTTGAGCATCATAAACGACTTCTTCTGAGGAGGGTAAGAGTCGTCCACCGTTTTCAAACTGACTAGAGGGAGATCCGGGCGGTTTTTCGGCCTTTTGGAAACTTCCGAGGAGAAAAACGCTATTTTCCCAGGGACGGATTTGCCCCAGGTTTCGTACACGGCGACGGCTCTCGTAGACAGGTATTTCTCAGCTGTCATAACTCCTACGAAGAGCAGACTGCCGTGGCTGTTGTTAGGGTACGCCGTGGGTTCCAGGCCGACTATAGAGGCCGCCGCCTCCTCCACTGCCGGTCGCGCCCTCGTGGCCCCCGGGCAGGTCTCCTGGTCGCCGACACTCGACAGAAGGAGTCCCGCGGTCAGCCCCATCACGAGTCCCAGGAGAGGTTGGAGCATTCGGCGGCGACGGGACATTGTCAGTCAGGGAGGACATGGCGACGCCTCCTCAACCGCCGGCTCATGCCCCCTCAGCCCCTGTAACATATGAAAACGTTTAATAACAACCCACAGACAATAACAATCATCAGAATAGTTTTTGTAAAAGAATACAAGACAATTTTGAAGCGCACCACCTCGTATTTCATGAGTAGTCATGAAGGAAGCAAGAAGAAAGATCTAGATAATTAAAAAGATATAGAGGAAACTAGAAAATATGAGGGAGAAAAACATATCCCGATGGTCCTGGTGTTTCATTTTAGGTGAGGGGCAAATGAGAAAAATCTTAATTTTTTTAAGAAAATATAGGCTAAGTTTTTTTTACGATCCACATCGAAGCTCAATAAATCGAGGCAGTTTAAGAACCCCATGGTCCTTTCTTACAGTTAGTTTGTCCCATGAGTGTTTGTGAGCACAAACTAAGTGCCCGATGAAGTAGAGAAAATACGAAAGCTCCACCTATCTCAGAAATTATTATATTATTGGATCGAAACAGCCGGTAGGCTACCACTTACAACTCACTTTAACCATTTGGGCGTCAACAATGCTTACACAAATGTTTTCTCAGTAATAGTTACGAGGACAATTTTAAAGTATTATTACAATTATTACAATAATTTCTCGCTCCAGCTCCAGCAGATAGCTTCGTGAGATGAGAGATGGAGGTGGTCGCGTGAGGCTTGGAGTGGCGGCCGGGCTGGGCTACCCCATTGTGGTGTTTTGGGACCGACACTGTTTTTGTGCCCCGCCCCTACGGAGTCACGCAACTGACTTGACCTTGAGACCTGAAATCCTAGACGAGGCGACGAACCAAATAAATAGGTTTATCTGGAGAGTGGGCCAAGTAAAGACAACACTCGCGTTAGTTTATCTTGTAGCGTCGTCGAGTATACTAAACTCAATCATTCTTAATTCTTATAGACTTACTACATTATGTATACATTACCGCTAAACGTGTACTTAGAAAAATTGAAACATACAGTACGGACCGTGCAGGGACCGTGTAGGCTAATGTTTAATGCAGGTACGCTGTGCTTGTAAGTTACTTTCCTGAAATAAACGGGCTGTGACTGTGTAAATGCGCACTTTGGTACTACTGTTTATTTTCATTGTATAAGAAAAACATGAGTCTATCACACAGACGTTGATAGTGTTTATAAAAATCTCAGTTTGTTTTTGTGTATTCGAGACCACATACATTCTGTGCAAGAACACAGGTAATTTTTGTTTGTATACCTACTAAAAAAATGTTGGAAACTTGGTTGAACAAAAGACCCAAAGCATCGGTCGGATGTAACCAGCGAGCAAGGAATACAATATCCCTTGCTCGCTGACCAAAAGACTGCAACTATCAGATCGTATCCACAGTGGTTGATGGAGATAATATGCCGTCGCTGTATATATTATACCAAAACTACGTCATATAACACAACAGCAATTTCGAATTTAGCATCGGAACGCGGTATGTACTTGCGCAGTCCCTTTAAAATGTTAATTAGCTGACTATTTTCCTATATTTGATATTATAAACGACTCAAAATGTACTTTTACACTATCCATACACTCGCATTTCTCTAACGCCCCGGTGACGTCAGAGATACATGCGCATGTCACTTACCGTGCTATTCTAGGTGCTATTCTAGGTATACAGTGCTGTATACTAAACTGTAGGGGCAGGAACGTGGTAGTTATGGATCGCATTTAGATGTAAATTGAAACGATCTAATTGTGAAGATTGTCCATTTCCGCGGCGCACCGCGAGTCGAGTGTTGCGCTCAGGGCCACACGGAGCGCTGCAGTCGCTGACAGCTGATCGGGTGTATTGGAAGGGGCGAATGGGAAAATAATAAATTTTAGAAATTGAATTAAATTTTTAGTTTGATATATCAAATCATACTACGTTGAGAAGTTAGAATGAGATCACAAAACTATCATTGAGCATTTTTTTTCGTTTCCAACCACAACTTGAAGAAATTTGAATCATCCCAAATGAGTACAGAATTTCGTGTTGAACCATTTTTCATACAACAATAGCGTCTAACAAAAAACAATATGACAAGGTTGTGATAAATTAAGTATTGATGAAATGCGCATTTGTTAAATTTTCTCTCAAACGGTTTCCAGCAAGACGGTTATTGCAGTTAATTGCTAAAGTAGCTTCCACAATTAATCAACATGTCACGTCTATATTTCGTTCTCTGAGACTAGAAGAAATTGTAGGAAATGCATGATCTATAAGAACCTACTTTATTAATTAAAACAACATTTCAGTATGTGTTCCATGCCAGCACTATGATTAACCAGCAATGCTACATATCTAAAGTAGGAAGGAGTTAGGAAGTATAGGAAGGAGCGGACGAAAACTGTATCGAAATTCGCAAGCAGTTTAATTATGTACAGATATAACGGAATCATTGCTTAACCTGTTTTGCAAAAATAGACATCTCTATTTCTTATTTACTCGCTCGAGGAAACTAACCTGGACTTTCATAAGCCCGTAGGTGATTAAGAATACACCGTTGCATGTACTTGTGAAGCTATGGATATCCAAAATTTTGCTGGCAAAACATTGGGGGCTGTACCTTATAAAAGTTGTCCCTTTGGATTACAAAAAAATTGGCGTAGTCTACATGAAAGAACATTGCATTTTACAACAGCAAATGAACAAAGTACCTATTTAAACTGATTGCAACTTTAAATGAGAATGGAACATATTCTTTGCGGACGCAGAATATTTTAAGTCAAATATTAAATCCGTATTGACGTGTATTACTTATTTGATTTGCATAAAAATAAAACATTACCCACAGTAAATAATGTGTAAATAATGTAGTAAGAAACAGCGGAGGAAACGATTTTTTACTTACAAAAAACAAAAACAAGCTAGTAAATAAGAGTAGTTAATTATCCAAAATAGTACGAAATAGTGACGAAAACAACTAACTTGACCATACAAAATACAAACATAACAAATATTAGCTTTAGCTAGAAGCAAAGCTAGGAAATGACACAGTTTAGTTCTACAAAAAATACAGAGAGTGTCCTTGCATCTAAATTGAAAAAGACAAGTGATTTCTGGGATTTCTCCTCGATTTAATTCGTTCAGAGTATTAAAGTTAATTGTGTTTAGTATGAACTTGTCAGGAACATAACATTGTATGTTGTAAGATACATTTATTTAACTCTGGTGTAGACGCCAATAGCTTAAACTCTTTGGAAAGCGTTAATAATTGATAGTCCAGTGACAATGACAACTGGGTCAAGATTTGAACCTCCGCAGATTCACTCAAGGATTAATCTTGAAGATCTCCGGATTAGGAGTTAAACTTTCTCCATGATGACATTATATTCATGGCTAATTTATAATCGTAAATTTATCACGCATCCTCAAATCATCCAACTCACTAAACTACTAAAGGATTCGAGTTATTCTAATAATTTTTCAAATGAAAAACCATTTATTTTGATAAATGGAAGTTTTATTGATGAATCTAATGTTGAAGCTTAATCCCCGAATATTCTTCAACGAGCACTTTTTTATCACAAAAATATTAAATTTACCATCATTAACAATTACATTCAAAGAAGGTGTATTTTTTCAGAATTTCTTTGCATTTTTACTTTGAACCATTTGCAATATCCAATAATTTTATAGAATATTCAATGTTGTTTTTGAACTTGAAAACTGAAGAAAAGAATTTTGTGGAAATATTTGGAACACAGCCTTCGTTTTACGATTGTTGCAACTAGAAATGTGTAGACAGTAAATTATTGCAAAATATGTACATGGAATTCTTCCAAGTTCTCGGCAAGAACGCATTCCATGGAGTCGGAGACATTGCATATTGATTTCATCCTGAAATCGTGCAAAAAGAGTATCAATTAAAATCTGCAGCGAGTCGCGTGATAAGTTAATCATCTACATTAAATTAGATTCTGTAATCCAATTTTGCGCCAACATGAATACTAATGCAATTGAGTAAATACGACAAAACCTATAAGTGTTGTTTGTGCTTAAAGGTATGGATAGAACATTAATTTTAATCGATATGGCAAAAGTATGAGAATTGAATGGAGGCGCTTGTCTATGAAAAATTATTGACTAATTTACCATGGAAAACCCTCATGATGCATATGAGGCCTGAAAGATGATCATGAATACAGAATCAAGGCTAGACAAAATGTCTTTTAAGCACAAAAAAAGAATTTATAATAAAAAAAAAAACATGGGCATTATGGGTTGCCATACTCGTGAGGAAATAACAACGAAACAGGCATATAAAGAGAATATCAATGCAAATGAAAGAAATTCCAATCACATGTTTTATTTACAGCGTGAAAATATAGAAGTCTGTACCATTTCTGTGCATTACATATTTTTGGTCGAGTTTCCGATCACTGGACGATTTCCAGTATAAATAAATTTGCCGCGAAAATAACATGAAATGAATACTGTGATTCACATAAAATATTTTCAACCGACAAAAAACCATAAAATTATCTTCAGTTTGAGCAACGAATGAAAAATATGCAAGGATGTGTAGGGTGTAACCTAATTAGTCTACGATTGTTTGCATTGCAAGTTTGATACTGCTGCATAGTTTAACCATCGTGTGTCTCATAGCAGTATAGTTTCTGTCAAGGGACACACGGCGACACAGCACGCGAGAACAACGAGGTATTGCGGAACACCGCAGGGACACAATACACGCACTCCATTGTGTATTGGATGGCTGCGGCAAATCATGCACAATACACAATACATGCGCCGGAGACAGAGACCTTGCGTTGCGAATACAGAAGTTTATAGTTGGAAATTGTCTAGTTATGGTATTGCTCTCATATTTATATGTGCAATATTGCATACTGTGGGTAGTTACAATGTGTTGAACACTGTTTTAGATTTCCAAAGAAGACTTAAACCGCGATCAGCATATATTATACCATTTAAGATTAAATGATATGAAATATTATGTAAATATGATATATTTAATATACATGTTTCAAGAGTTTACCCCATAATAATTTGTAACATCTTGCTCTGGAAACCATCGAAACTGGAAATATTTCCTTTGTAGTACGTGAACAATAATGCGAAGAATTTGGCCATTATATGTAGTATATAATTTACTTTTAACACTTTCAAGCTTAACACAATTTATAAATTAATACATATAACTTGTATAATTTGCAACCATTCACGGACTATTTAGAGGATATTTTCTAGTTGAACCACAAAAATGCTCGTCTTTTGTAGAGTATACCTGCTCCTGACTCACTCTATTCTGTATACATTATTTAGCATTACTACAGTTCTTGATGCAATTGTGTGATTAGATTAGAATTCTGACGCCGATACACCATACGGTGATCTGAAGATATGGGCAGGATGACTTAGATTAATTAATGACATTACAGCTTTGTAATTGGCTAAGCTTAATAATCAGCTGGTTCTTAAACCAGCAGGATTAGTTATTGAAATTTAAATGAAGGACAGCTGGGTCCATTTTCAAACCAAAAAAGGTTTTGACTTTTCAGGATCAACTTATATTTGAACACCATACTTTTGTGATTAAGTTATATCCTTATTGGGCTATTTTATTTCAAAAACATTCTTTGTGCCTAGCCATGGAGGAAGAAACCAAACAATTAAAATGTACAGTATATGGGGTACGCTTTTTTGATAGTAATGTTAATACGCCAGTTTTTTTTTACCGACAATTACTTAACAGACGCAAACATTTCATAAACTAAATATAGTTATACAGACAATATTTACATGCATTTGTTTTCGTAATTACAAAGTCATAAATTGCCCTAATCAGTTTCGGATAGGGAACTGTGATAAATTTTAAACGTAAAAATACATCAAAACATCAATTATGTTGATCGTGTTTCCTATAATATGATTAATGAAAGATAATTAATTTCATAAATCAACTAAACATGCTCACACATTAAAACCAACTATACAAGGTAATAAGAAGTTGTATAAAACTTACCAAACAAAAGTCGAGCAGGCAGTTTGACACTGTATGTTTACATGAGATCACAATTACACACCAAGTACCACGTGTTAGTTCATAACAGCGAAGTCCGATTGTGGATGTAGTAAAAAGGGGAATGACCGGAAAAGACGACAAACTTCGCGACGGTCACGAATAAGAACCGGATACCTTCCGTCTTGGAGACAGAGTCAAGGACCACTCACCACTGGATAACCTACTTGGCGAACACCAGACCGGCGACTGAGCGCGAGCCTCGAGCGAGCGCGGAGCGGGGGCAGCGGGGGGAGGCGGGAACAGCTAAAAACTGGCTGTTGAAGTGCGATATTTATCGCATCGAACTATCGCGATACGCGAGGAACGATACGATACTTTTTAAAACAAAACTTTATATCATGATCGTGTGGTCAAAATGACTGTAAGCCATCCACACTATATGTACTACTACACTATATATACCACACGATACACAAAATACTCAAACAGTACGTTAATTGTTGGATTACGGCGATTGGATAGGTCTACGCCTGGCCTGAAAGAGTAAAGTCCTTTTTATCGATATTTGAACTATTTATTTTGTTTTGTATTTAACGCCGTGTGTATTTAATTTTGAATTAGTATTAGCTTTGACTATTAATACAACAACAAGAGTTTGGTTTTCCCACTGCCACACGTTATAAAGTTAACTGGGGTGTCCAGACTTTATCTTGCTTGCTCATCTTAAATAATTAAAATGGCTGCCATTTTGATTAGGGGTGCGGTATTGACCTCTAGTTTAATTGCGCCATTCAATTTCTCTTGATAAACCCTTTTCGATGAGGGGTCACATGATAGGTGTTAGGTGTTTACGTTTGAAAATTTGGGGCTGCCCCCAAAATACTCCATTTTGGGGGCTGGGGCAAAGTTGTAACTTTGATGAAAAAGTGCAATTTCTTATGTTCTAAATATGTGCCGAGTTTGGTTTTCCTACTCCAACGCGTTAAAAAGTAAACTGGGGGGTTCCAGACTTTTGCCTAACCCTGTAGATAAAACATACTGGTTAGTGGTTAAGTCTATGGTCGTACACAGTAATCGTAACTATACGGTCGGCATTATTCATATGACAATCGTCTTATTAATATCGTATCGCTGTATTGCAGTCCGATAGTGCATCGCATGTCTTTCAATCGTCTTATTAATATCGTATCGCTGTATTGCAGTCCGATAGTGCATCGCATGTCTTTCTCTTGACTGCATGCGGCGATGGGAACAGCTGTGTTGGTTTTGTTTTTCATAGATATGAATAACAACTAACTTTTTGTGTCATACTGCAGCAAAAACAGATGTTTTTAATGCATGCGTTGCGGGTCTAAATTAGAATTAGGGAGTAAAATGCATTTTAGCCCCTAGGGAGTAAAAATCGGCTGTTGTAATTTTTGATTGTAAGAAATTGCATGTATCGAAAGCGAAAGTATGTATCGATTGCTTAATTGTTGTAATACTTGTTGCCTAATTGTTGTAAACCTATAGTTCGACATATCGATAGTATAATGTACACTATACAATCGTAATAGACGAAACGATTGAATCACTTACAAACAGCTGCTTGTTTCAATTAACAAATTAAATTGAAAACAAACTGTAAGAAATTTTGAGAGGTTATCTTTAAATGACAACTCAGTTTTGTAACATAGTTTGTTCAAATAATGGCCTAATATGACGAAAAGTAAATTTCATCACAGACAAAAAGTGTCATTTCAACCCTCGCTCATTTTCCGACATCCGCTTCGCCCCGATCGTAAAGCTTGAGCTCGGGTCAAAAAGAGTCACTTTGGGCCCTAGTGATGAAATAATACTGTTATGGTTTTGTCCCGGACACAATATACCTACTGTAATAGCACCAGATCTTAATTCAAAAATAATCTTATTACTTTTTAATAACTCAATTGACTAGTATTTGAAATAATATACTCTGTAGTGTGTATAGCAAATTGAGATCATAAATGCTTTTTGCTTTTAAATGAGAGGTTTACAAGTTACAATTAAAAATGGTGAATAGCATTTAAAGTTAACTTTAAAAATGTATATTTTTACGGGTACAATTTATTTAAACAGTTTATAGTCAATACTATATAGTATTCACATTCGATACGCTACAACCAAAGTAGCGATAAATTACTGGAATATTACATTATCAGTCTTAACCTAGGAGGATTAGTCTTAACTCACTTATTCTGGGGGTCATCCATAATGTTTTCCCTTTTGGAAACCAAAAATAGCCTACTTGAAATCTCTTATCTGAATAATGTGGATTTGTATTTGTAAACATTGTGCTAAACACACAAAACCAACTTTATTGAATAGTATGACAATTTTAAACTTCAGTCCAGCCACATGTATAAATCAATGTAACTACAGGGCCACTTAAAAATTATCGTGCTCAATAAATAATTGCACGAGTAGCCGAGTATAGCATCCGTTTCCTGCCCGCGTAGATGCTGAGTTAGCGCATTCCTTTTCTTCTAGCTAGAGTTCGGTTTTGCCTCATTAGTAAAAAAAAAAAAAAAAAACAGACTAAATGTGCGGTAATTTGTCTTGGTCTTTTTTATGGCATCATATTATGATGAATTATGTAGTATGCAGTCTATAATATTTAGTTAGATTAGACAGTTGTTTATGACCCACAAAAAGGGACTTCAAGGCAGTAAGATTTTTTTAGACCAAATATGTAGGTATGGTTACTTTTTGCTCTCTTCGTCCTATACATAGTATATGAAGAAAGTAATTTGTTGTAAAAATTGTCCAGTTTGAGTGGTAATATATATCTGTTTTGGGTTACCCTGGACCCAAAAAAGTGGTTTTTGAAGTGATGTATATCCATCCATGCATGTTTGGATGTGTACAGAGCTACAGACCTGTAGTCCTGTGGTCCTGTAGTCAGATTTTGATGAAATTTGGTATGAGGTACTAATCCATGTTATCTCCAGGATGTTTTTACATTTTTTTGAAATTTGGATTTTTAATGGTGATTTTTCCACAAAACCCCATAAAATAACAGAAAAATCAGAATTTTCTCAAAAATGGCCTGAACGATCTTGATACAAATTTAGTATGTTGTAGCTCTTTAAATTCTGGACCAAATGGTAGAACTCCCATTCATGTAAAAAAATTTGATTTCACCTAAATATGTTGTATGCACTGTACTACATAGTGCATACTGTACTATTATACCTACTATTGAATCTTTTTCATAATTTTCAACCCTACCCTGTTTATAGTAAGCAGATTAGTTGCTTTTGGAAACCTTATTTTGTGTTCAAGCGGATAGACCTACTCTCAAAGCTGTTAATTTAATTGATGATTAAATAAACATGAGAATTAATTGTATACTTCCAAATAATAAATATAAACTAGCAGAGTACCCATCCTTTGCACGGGTTGGCGTATAAGTATAAAATTCTCATTGAAGTATTATGCTTGACTCTTGAGCTTTACATTTGTAATGGGGGAGGACACAGTTTGAGAAAATTTGGTTCTTTAAATTAACGGGATGCTTACAGTATAACATATCTGCAATAGTCGTGTTCTACCACTGCACTTAAACAATACAAAAAAAGTAAACTATCAAACATTCGCACAATATCACAAACAAATTACCTATTAAGCTAAAAACATAAATATAACTGTAATATATCCTACTTTGACAGTTCTCATTGTATATCACAGCTTTTTGTTGCTAAGTTCATAACTGTTGTCATAAATGCAAAAAAATAATAAGTGTTGCGCCCTGTTGGTCAACATTATAACTTTTTATTCCTATTGAATATCATAGAACCAACTTGTTAAGTTAGAACAGCTGACAAAATTATTTTATTCCGTTTGAATATCATTAGGTTTAAGCATGGAAAACTCCAGAACCACTGCCCTAGTGGAAGACATCAATAGAAATCAATAGAAAAAATCTATTGATATCACTAGATGCTTAGTGATATCAATAGATGTTCATGGATATCATTACAAGTAAATACAAACAAATAGACATCACTGAAAACTTAGTCAATACATATCACTAGACATCTATAAACATAAAATATATCAATATAGATCATTAGAGCAAACAAATCGTTCATTGATATCAATAGAGAATATTTTTTTAATATGTTAGATGTAAATATAAATCAATAGACATCAATACGGGTAAATAAAATTCAAAATATCTCTCAAATTTATCACAAATGAGCATTATGGATTATACAAAATATCAATGTAAAGTGGTTAAATAAACAGTAATAAAAATGTTATTTTTTGAAAAAAGGAAAAACTTTAGTTTTAGGTCATAGACGTTAGCTGAGGTACCTAAAACTCAATATAATTTAAAAATATATCATTTTAAAATTGTTGTAAAACAGTTACAACTTGTATTAAATCTTATTTTTTAAACTGCCAAAATCTGATTGCTAAATAATTTTAAAATTGTTATAAAACAGTTTACAACTTGTATTAAAACTAATTTTCTTAAACTTCAAAAAACTGATTGTAAAACAATTTTAAAATTGTTGTAAAACAGTAAAGTTACAGCTCGTATTGAAACTTATTTTTTCAACTGCAAAAAACTTATTGTTAAACATTTTTAAAATTGTTTCAATCTTATATCAACATTGTTGTAATATGAAGTTTAAATCAAAATGTTTTAAAATTGTTATACAACAATTGTAATACAACTTTCGACAACTTTTAACAATTTCTTTCCTAATGGGTTATTATAGGGATAAAAATTACTCACAAATTCATTATTGAATTGAATTCCTTATTTCTAGAAACAATAAAAATAAATTGTATTGACACACTATTCACATCACCCAAGTAGCAAGAAAACAGTTTGAACTGGTAATCAAACAGTTTTGAAACATGTTAAAGCATATAGGTACATGCTTGAAATGACACAAATGCCATTGAAAAATCTTTTCAAAGTTTAATTATGAGGCCTAACACAGCTTCTCGCATTCAAAGTGGCTATCATCACTTAGTCAGACATGAAGCGTCCGTGGCGTAATGTCTTAAACATCCGGCTACCATGCTGGAGTCCCAGGTTCAAATCTCGGGAACACCTAGAGCTTTTTGACAAGAATTTTTTTACTTTTTCATTTTTATTTTATTTTTAGTGCATAGTAGATGTGATTCAATGTGTTGAAACAAATTAAAAATTGTTTTTTAACAAGCTACAAATTATTTTCAATTAAGCTAATGACTCGGATCCTATATTTACTTGTATTGATATGTATTGATGTGTATTGATGTGTATTGATGTGTATTGGCCCAAATACACATACGTATCAATACGTATCAATATACAATTTTTGTATTGATATATATTGATCACTTCCACTAGGGTGGTGCGGAGCCCCGAAAGGATTTTTGAGATAAGAATAGGTCTATGTTTATCAGGAATGTGAGCTACTATCATGCCAAATTTCAGCCCAATCAGACCAGTAGTTAATACGTGATTGAACCTAATTCAAACAAACACACAAACTTTCTCATATTTTTGAGTAAAGATGACCCAAAAACCAACTTGTCTTGATACCACTCTCTTGATAACTAAGCAGGTGGTAATAGAATTATGATCTATTTATAATCTATTTATGGATCTATTTATAACCAAATAATCCACAAAATCCATCTTGCTCTCAAAGGATTAATTATTTAGCAATTCACTCAGACAACAAAACACTTTTGCGTGTGCACACGCATTCCCGACATCTAGGTCGCAGCAACCTTAAGAAGATCTAGGTATATTACAATGGCCCAAAGAGTTGAGTCGCTGATAAAGCATGGTGGCAGCCACTGCTGTCACTGACCAGCGACAATGTTCTTTAGCAGCCCGCTTGTGCGAAGGCCTCCATAAGACTTGATACAATTTTACAGATATAAATAGCTGACGCACAGGTGGCTGCGACCTAGTGAGAAAGCTGCCTTAATTTGTTTACCTGCTAAACAAACCTCAAACAAATTCTTGGAGGCAGTGTTTGGTTGACAATCAACATAACCTTGGGGTTATCTTGCAACTTAAACAAAGTATAGTTCAGCCAAGACATTATCTAGACACTTGGCCTACGGGAATAATCTCTTAATAAGTTAATACATATAAGGGGTCGGGGTGATCAACTCAAGGAGGCCATTGGGATATCGGAAACGTAAGAATTGGAGAAAACTTTAAGTGGGGGATATTTATTTATTGTTTTGACAGTTAAAAATATGAATTTAGTTTTTTGAAATTCAGCCGCCATTTTCCAATATGGTGGGTGACTTGAAAATTGTTTATAGATCACGTTTTTGGATAGAACATGGAATTTGAAAACTTTTTTATTCTTTAGTTTTTTTTTATAAAGCTACTCGTTAGGGAGTTACAAGCCTTTGAAAAAATTACTTTCGGTGTACATTTGGCATCATGTAGCTCCCAAAGTAATTAATATGAGCAAAAATGCATAGAATAAATAAGTCTTATAATTTCATCTACAGTTTTCCACTTCTCGAGTTATTTTTGAAATAATAGAATCAATACTTTTTACGTATTATATGGTCTTTTTACTCTTTTTGGAATGTACTGTAGATGCAAGTCTGTGTATAGTCATTGGTTATATTTAGTTTAGCTTATTATACATATTTAGTGTTAATTGATTTCAAAGTTTTTTAAGATGAAGAGAAACCAAAATATATCAAGTATTTTTAAGGGAGAGAAGCTACAATAGATCGTCAGGAAACAAATTTTACTACTTCGCCTACAACCAAGCCAGTTCCAGTCAGAGGTCATACTGTAGGCGAGAGTTAAGAAGTCCTCTGAGCCAAAGCGAATGCAGCAATGTTTGTATGTTGCCGCACGGTATTTGCAGGTGCTCTTTTGGTTTTAACACAGTGGATGTGAGCCCTGACTGCGACGTGGAACATGAGTAAGCCACCCGACGCGCCTAGATGTTGAGTAGCAAGTGCCTGCATTTTTAGAATAGGCCAGGTATTCTTAATTCTCGCCTACAGTACATCTCACCCAATGACTCAGAACCTCCACCAAGTCGCGAATCGAAGAAATAATTACAGATCGAGCATCCTGAACAGGAGCGTAGACGAATCGCTGCCTCGAAGTTTGACATTGACCAAAGACTGATCTCGGAGTAGGCCTATAGGAACACTTATAATTTTCTCCAAGTAAAGCTCGGTCCCCAGGTATTAATAATAAATACAGTAGCAATTGTTTTCATATCAGGCCTATGTCCTTTTACTTTCTCTTTCTATAAATAATATGGAAAAAGTATTGTTTACGTCAACATTTTAGTGTTTTAGGCAGGTTGTTTTAAGGTACAGTGGTTTTCGAAGTGATGTCTGTATGTCAGATACACCTGTCTTCAGACTTTTATGAAATTTGATATATGGAATACAAGGCTTTTTATTATTTGATTTTTAATGGTCATTTTACCCCCAAAAAATCGGAAAAAATAAATTTTCATTCAAACGGCCCGAACGATTTTGATTTAAACGTAAGCGTCATGTTATGGTCCTTATAATTATAAATAAAATGGTACAACCCCATTATTGTAAGAATTTCATTTCAAAAGTTATTGCAATTTAGTGATTTCCCCCTTAAATATCATAGTTACTCATGATAAAGGTTGTTGAAAAGCTAATGGGAGAAAGTATGTGTGTAAGTATGTGTTGTGTCAGATTGCTGAAATTACCGTGTAGCCTACATAACTTAAAATATGGTCACTCAAGAATTCATCACTCTTCAGCATTTCAGATCTAAATATCAAAATAATACGTAGCCTACACACAATTTAAGTACTAGCCGAACAAACTTGGTATTGTCAAACCAAGAAGGTTGTCTAAAACATGAACAACTTACAGATGATATTTTCAAAGACTGTCTCAGGGCTGTATAAGCAAGATAATGTAATCTTTAGAACTTATTAAACTGCAACCTCCATAAGAAACAATCCTCATAACTAAAGTAGAATCTTCATTGTAAGCAAGATTTGTTGGATCAAATTCACGGTTAACTTCTATATTTCACAGGTCAATAATCACGCAAGACATGAGTTAAATTATAACATTTATTAAAAAACACAATTAAGTGTCTAATCCCTCATCATCTTCTCCTTCTGGCGAGCCAACTTCTTCTTGGAGACCTTCTTCTTGGCAGGCTCTTCCTCAGCGGCCTTGGCAACCACCTCCTCCTTCTCTGTGAGGACCACCTCAATGTGGCAAGGTGAGCTCATGTAGGCTACACAACAAAACACCCACATTTTAGTCAACTCTCAACAATCCATGTGTGAGATTAATTAGAAACCACAAACAAACTAAAGAACAAGTCAAAGCTACCAGATATAAACAAATAAAACCACAACTAAGAAATAGTAGAAAACTATTGTGTCATCAGTTTGCACTGTTATCTTTGCCCAATAGGACACAAAGAGCATCCCTCCCAAAAGCCAGTGGGAAACAAATACCTTGGGGTCAATTTAGTGGAAAAAATAATTTTATTTCATCCTTGTACGTTAAGCCGTTTTTCTGTAATCAATTTGAGACATCTTACAAGGGACACCCTGTATATGAATTTGAAGGGATGGTGTTTTTAGCCTCCGGGTACATGAAAATGAAGAACCAAAGTGGTTCCGAGTCTCAGAGGTGTTACCATGGGAGAAAGGTCTATGGGAAAGTTAAATAGGCCTAGAGGACTTAAATACTGGGATCACAAAAAAACCCTCTTAGTTCTATGCTTTATAGAACCCTATTTGATGTGACACAACAGCTCAGCTCTTACTGAAAGAAATATAGTAATACCAAATTTTTTAAGTACCGGTACAACAAATGGGAATACTTACGGTTGATGCGACCGTGGGCACGGTAGGTACGACGACGCAGACAAGGTGCTCTGTTAACCTGGATGTGGTCAATGACCAGACGGTCAACATCCAGTCCCTTGTAGTCAGCGTTTGACTCAGCATTCTTCAGCAGCTGAAGAAGAAACTCAGCTGACTTCTTGGGCCACCTTCCCTGAGTTGTGCCCCACTGTTTAGCCTGTACAAAAAAGAAAGCAAATGTCAATGCAACTTTTTAGTGAGTCGGTAGTGTCACGGACTTCGGGCCCAAGGCAGCGATGTCTTGAGTTTGGATCCTGGTCACTGCCGAAAACATTTAACAATACAGATCACCTTTGTACTGTACCGGCTCACTCCTTGCTTTTCTGTATACGATCCACGCACGGGCGGTTAGTCTATGTGGACGGGCAAATGCAAGGTTAAAAGAGGCCGCCAACCTCTTTGTTTCGTTGGAAGTTAAAACTAACTAGCTATCTATCATGAACTTTATTAAATCAACCACACAAGAGCACAGGAACAACAGCAAAATTAACCAGGGACAAATCACAGGGTGTTTAGTTTATTTTGATTTTAAAATTCAAGACTAATTCCAGATTTTCCGAGACTAATTTTTTCAACAATTAGTTATAAATTGCCATTAGCTGTTTGGGCTATTAACTAACAGCTGTGTCTAAGGAATGTCGGCCTTAGTCACTAACAAGACTACAAGATTGCGCCACCCATCCTACACTTATCTCCATTCATACTTGGCTTAAAATACCTACTTAGTATGGTCGCCATTTCATTGTAAAGTATTAAGTATTAAAGTATTAAGTATGTGTTAACACGTTCGCTACTGAGCGTCGCATATATGCGACGCCGCGGTCATTGCCACAGACCGAGGTATACATTTGAATCTCACACATGGACCGGCTGTCACTTGGATAACAGTACACACAGACCACGGTCGAAAACCTGTAAAACAGTGATAATTTACATCTTAATACGCTACAATCGTGTTTGTAAATAATTTATTCTTATTTTTTTTTTTATAACCTTTTGTAATGTCGCATATTTGCGACGCCCGGTCTACAGGGAGGACAATAGTGAAAACTATCATAGTTTTCTTGAAATAGACCAAACATCGCATATATGTGACGGCTCATTTTTGTTTTTGTTTTGAGGTGAAAGTAAGTTTAAATAAAACAGAATATTCAAGAACAGTTTATAACTGAACAAATATAAAAGCTACATAGGATAATGCAGCATACATACTGCATACATACATACAGTGATGCAGAAAAGTAAAGGCAAGTTTTTCCAACTATCATATGACGTCACCAATCATCATATCCACAGACCAAGCGACGCAGTAGTGCGTCAGACATCTCTGTAGACCACTGCAGGGAATTCAGTGGCTTCAAATAGACCGTTACAAAGATATAAGCATTTTAATAACACTAGAACCCTGACGCAAATATGCGACGGCAGTCTATTTTAATGTGACTAGCCGTTGCATATATGCGACGGCAGTCAATGGGTGGAATCCGGCCGTCGTGTATGTGCGTTGCTGGTCCATGTGAATGCAAAATTTCGTACTATTGCAGTAGCGAACGTGTTAATACCAAAGTGTATTGATTCTCAACTCTTGATACCGATACCAATTTTGTATAGTTTAACCAAATTTTTGAAGTAATTTTGTTAAAATACACCAACTCTTGTTTATTTCTGTGTAGCCGTCATCATTGACTGTATCTCTTGGTCACGGAAACGTCATCGTTATCTCCTGCGGTCTCGGAAACATCCCCTTCGTCGTCTGCGATTGCGGCCAAATTATGAACATTTTTCATAATTGCCCGCGGCTGTGTAGTCATCATAATTGACTCCCGCAATCCTGGAAACATTATCGTCGTCGTCTGCGACAACAGCAAAATCATAAAAATCTTCCGCGGCCGTGTAGCCTAGACATCATCATTGACTGCCGCGGTCTCGGAAACATCACCTTCGTCGTCTGCGATCACGGCCAAATTATGTACATTTTTCATAATTGCTCGCGGCTGTGTAGACATCATAATTGACTCCCGTGATCCCGGAAACGTTATCGTCGTAGTCTGCGATAGCAGTAAAATCATAAAAATCTTCCGCGCCCGTGTAGCCTTGACATCATCATTGACTGTCCCGGTCACAGAAACGTCATCGTCGTCGTCGCGATTGTGGCAAAATCATAAAAATTTTCCACAGCCGTGTAGACATCATTGTCTACCACGGCCAAGGAAACGTCGTCGTCAGTTTAAAATCATGAAAATTCCCGACTTTGATATAAAAATAAAGACTAAATCCCGACTTTTCAAGACCATTTTGAAATGCAATACTAATTCCCGACTTTCCCGACTACTAGACACCCTGAAAATAGTTGTATCCTGAACTTGTGCATTGATCCATGAAGACTCAGCTATACACTTTACGTTAGATACAAACTTCACATTTCATGATTAACATCTAGTTTCTAAGAGGTAAATTAGTTGTTAGACGTCTAATTATGAGTATTAATCTGATTGGGATTTGTTTGTGGGCTTCACTCACCTATAAATTGATTGTCTAGTGACATCCAAAACTTGTCATAAAAAACACATCACACTAGATGGTCCATAGAATCTAGTCCTACATTATACATAACCTGAAAAATTGTCCTGTATCTCCAAGGTAGCAAAACCATTTTTATCCCACTCACAGGTTAAACACTTAACCACAACACCCAGTGGGACATCGTTCGGTTTCTGCAAATGTTTGACCAGCCTTCTTTCTGTGGACAATTAACTTGCCTGGTCTTAAAGTTTTGTGCTCTCCCAGACTGGCCAACTGCCCCACACATAGGCCTAGCTTATGTTACAGCTTTTTATCCCTAAAAAATAGCAAAAGAATTAGGCCTACATAAAGCTTTACAAGTACCTAAGTATTAACAATAAATTACCTGTGCACACCGTCCAACTCCACCGTTAAACCTCCTGAAGGGTACACATTCCTTCTTGTCTGTGACATTCTTCAGGTATCGAACGGCCCTCCTCAATGGCATCTTGCCAATGGCCTTTGCTGTTTCTCGGGTGTTCTGAAATCACATTGATTATAAGCAACCAATGTCTTAGAATCTGTTAACTAATTACAAAATGACAGGTTATCTTGTTTTAACCTATTAACATAGATAAAACATACTCCCTTAGTAGATTTGTCATCCTTATGGAACAGCTGAAGCCAATTTTAATGTTAGTTCTGTACGTCCAACTGTAGGGGTTGTGTTTTGTTTACAATTTGTTTCTTGTTATTTCAGTCATTTAAAAAAACATTTAACCAAATAAAACTATATAATCATAAACAATAACTGGTCTCCTATATATATAACCAAATAGTAAAACAAATAGTAAAGCACAAATCATGAAAATAACCCTAAAATAATAAATTTGGTCTACCCCAGCGATTAGTGTGGACGTACATGAACTAGACACAAAAACAAGCTTCAAAATTTACAATGGGATGAGGAGTCTACTTGTGTTGCTTAGTCTATGCTATTAAGTATATTCTTAAGTTAAACTAGCTGTGTGCCCGTTCTACGCACGGGGATCTTATAGTAGTCAGTTGAAACCTTCTTTTAATATAACATAATTAATAATCTTAATATAATTTATCCTAGATGTTATAGGCCTATCTTAGGAGACACATAGCAGTTCTTCAATAGCCTATATGTCCTTTTATTGAATAAACAGTCCTTTAGGGATAAGATACATTAATGCTGCGCGACAAATTATAAACAGGTTCAAGGTAGGGAGAAATTCCTAGTAAGAGTAAGTTACCCCTATTGTAAAAGTTACATTAGTTATGGAATGGAAAATCTTGTGTTGTCATACGATAATTACAAATTAATTTTGGTAAAGAGGGCTCTAGACCAGGGTTTATGAAGACTTTTAATGGAGCTATGTAACAGCTGGCTAACCTTACTGGGAAAACAGATTTAAATGTAGGCCTAAGTTACAAATAGGAAAATAAAATCTTAGAAGATTCCATTTTTTATGAAGGATTTTACTTAACTTAGAAACCTCCAAAAATTCTATATGTTAGGCCAGGTTTACACCAGCGACACATTTAACTTGCAATGACTAGAATTTGCTGCAGCCTGGTGACACACTAGTTCACTCGAGAGACAAGTCCAATGCCTATACCGCAGGGGTTACATAAATAAATGAGCATCAATAAAGGCAAGTAAGGCCTATACGAGCTGCAGTGTGAAGACCCACTGCATATGTGTGAACGAACGCTCTCATATGGCTACATGTACTGCTTTTGAATATTTCTTAAATACTATTGTTTATTATTTCAATTTGAACTGTCCTAGAATATCTAAGAAAATCAGGCATGATTATAAGAGTAAATTAAAGAATAAATGGTTTGATGAATCTCTCAGGAAAATGCGAGATACTGTTATTTTTCTTGCAGATTTAACAAAAATGCCTAATTTAACAAAGCATGATGATTTAAAGAGAACTCTGTCAGTTTATAGGAAAAAATATAGGACTATGATTAGAGTGGCTAAGATTAATTATAATGAGAAATTTGTTAGCAGTTCAAGGAATACATGTAAGGCTGCTTGGCAAATAGTAAAATCAGAAAGTGGGGATTTTTTCAAACATAATAATACCGTTCCACCTTTTTCAGCAGATGATTTTAATAACCATTACATAGATGTTGGAAAAAAGGTAGTAGAGAAGGCTCATGTTGAGCAAGGTAGGAGTTTGGATTTCTCTAATTTTCTAAATAATGCTAATCGTTCTAGAAATAAATTTTCGTGGAAATTGGTAACAGAGAATGATATGAAAAAAATAATAAGATCTCTTAATCCATCAAACAGTGAAGATGCTTACGGTTTTTCAAACAAAATTGTAAAATTCATAGCTCCTTACATTATGGAACCACTGATTCATCTTGTTAATATGGTGTTTTCTACTTCAACCTTTCCAAATTGCTTAAAAATCAGTAAAACAATCCCTCTTTATAAGAAGGGAGATAAATTTCTTATTTCAAATTATAGACCAATTTCAATGGTTCCAGTGGTATCAAAAATAGTTGAATCCTGTGCTAAAGCCCAGATCTTTGATTTTCTTAACTTAAATAATATTTTAAACAATAACCAATTTGGTTTCAGACCGGGTCGTTCAACTACTTTGGCTATAGAATCGGTGGTGTCTGATATTTTGGATAGTTTTGAATCTGGTGGTTATCTTAGTGTGGCACTTTTAGACCTCAGTAAGGCCTTCGATTCGGTCTTACATACAATTCTTTTGCAGAAATTAGAATTTTATGGAATAATGGAGCACGAACTAAATTTTTTTAAATCATACCTCTGTGGAAGACTACAATTTGTTAATTTAGGAAAAGATAGGTCAAATTTTAAGGAGGTTCTTGCTGGGGTTCCTCAAGGCAGTAACGTAGCCAGGATTTCAAAATAGGGGGGGTCGACCGACCGGGGAGTCCAGGTAAAGGGGGGGTCCGGGAAATTTTTTAAAAATATAGACCCTAAAACGGTCTTTTTTAGCTCTCTTGGCATTGAAAATAATCAACCCCAACGTCAATACAGTATGATTATATAATTCTACATTTAATTTAACAAAAAATATTATATTTAAGACCTGAAGGGGGGGGTCCGGACCCCCAGGACCCCCCCCCTGGCTACGTCACTGCTCAAGGGTCGGTACTGGGTCCGGTTTTGTTTATTCTCTATATTAATGATTTGCCAAACTCCATACCTTGCAAAACAATTTTATATGCTGACGACACAACCTTCATCTCATCAGCTGACAACTTTTACTCTGCAAACCAAAGCATAGAAAACGCCATTGAATTGGGTAAGCTATGGTTTGAAAGTAATTTTCTGGAAATAAATCATGATAAAACAGAAAAAATTTGTTTTACTTTGCGTAATCTTGAAGCAGACAATGCAGTTTCCGTCAAATTACTCGGAATATCCATAGACTCTAAACTCACTTGGGAAATACAAACCAATAATATCATTTCAAAATTGTCAAGAGTATGTTGTTTGATAAGAAAACTTAAAAATTGTGTTTCTAAACCAACACTTCTAATTGTTTATCACAGTTTATTTCACTCACACTTGCTGTATGGCAATATACTGTGGGGTAATAGCTCAGGAGCTCACCGGGTCTTTACATGGCAAAAGAATGCTCTCAGAATTATGTTTGAAATTCCGGATAGGGTTAGTTGCAAAGCATTTTTTGCTGAAAATAAAATCATGACACTCTCTAATATTTTCATTTTTTACAATTTAGTTTCCGTTAAAGAGAATCTGAATAAATTTGTTCCTTGCAACTCAATCCATGGGTATATCACCAGACAATCAAAAGATTTATATATTCCTCAAGCCAGGCTATCAAAATTTATCAAAAGTTATAAATACTTGCAAATAAAACTATTTAATAAACTTCCAATATATTTTAGGAATCAGGAAAGTATTCATTTGTATAGGTCAAAATTATCAGATTGGCTTACAAGTCGTGCTTTTTATTCAGTTGAGGAGTTTTTGCAGAATGTAGATTTTTCAACGCTTAAATGTGAGGCCAAGCAGTCTTGATGATTCTTTGTTCGTGTTATGGTCTTTTCCCTGTTAATTTCAAAGTTTTTATTATTACTGATGCTTTATCCTTTTAAGATTCTTTTAACTTTATTTTAACATTTTCTGTAGAATATTTAATATTTTATATAACATATGTAACAAAACATGTTGACCTTGTCTATTGTAATGTTTATATTACCAAACGACAATAAAGATATATTATTATTATTATTATCAACACAGAGCTTGTGACTAGCTAGCCGCGGAAAGTCGCAACATCCGGCGGTAGTTTGCAACAACATGCTCGATCACCGCTGATGTACGCTTGTGTGAATCCTGTGGTCCCCCTACGTCTGGTCACAGACTAACTTAGCATCTACATGTGTCGCTTGTGTGAACCAGGCCGTAGGTGTTTATTCGTGCATTTTCAAAAAATACGTACCGGTAAATGTCAATTCAACAAGTAAAGGGTTAGCAGCTATCCCCATTTATTCTACAATTCAAAATCATAGCCCAGGGTCTTTCATTGAATAAAAATTTAACTAGAAGCCCAAGAGTAAGTCACACAAAAGACTATCATTGAACTTTATTTAGATCGTTGAACCTTTTCAATTTCTGCCTGCCACTTAGTTGCAGTTAAGGCTGGTAAGTTAGGCTACTTTTAAGGACCACCAAAATTGTTAGAATATTATAGCCTTCAGTAAATTTAGCTTAGAGTAATATGCTTAATTAGCACAAGTGACTTAAGCGATCGTGCAGTTTTGGTTTAAAGAATACACCAAAAAGTTATAACATATTTCTTGATGGCTAAAGCAAAAAAATAGCTACCTGTCATGTCACAAGATTTTAACTTGAGGCTGAAGAGAATTAATAGGGGTCTAAACTTTTAACTTACCTTGAAATGTACCCTGAGGTTGGAGCCACGTGCCTTGCACGATTTAGTGGCATTGTCTGGTTCATGTGAATAGCGCGCCATGATCTGGAAACAAGAGAATTAAACTTAAATTAAGTTATCATAGGCCCAACTTAAGTTACCAGCCTACAAAATTGGGGAACATTGTGGCTAACTTTCTAGATCACTTTCTACTTGTTAGCTTTTTTGGCCATCATTGTGTATACCTAGGTGACCATAAACTTACCGTAGCGTCAGAGGTCGGCTACAGCTAACAAGTTAAAGGTACCTAATGATAATATGGTAGCCTATATTAAGTTACAAACTCATCTCACTAGGCTATAATAGGCTAACGTTGTGATAATGAGAGATAAATTATATTAGAAACCAATTTTAACTAAATAGCCTAAGTTAAGTTAATTTCTATAACAGTTAGGCCTAGCCTATATAAAATTATTTGTTAACACGTTCGCGGCGGCATGGGAGCAATCGCTCCCATACGGAACCCTAATACCATCCTGGTGGGTGCGATCGCTCCCAAGCTGCAATGTGGTTCGAAATGATTTTATTTTAAAGCCAGGATTAGAGCTAAGTTAGAAACTTGAAACCTCGCACAGTACTGTTCAATATTAGTATACTGTATTTTGTTGTGGTGTAGGTTGGTAGTAAATTTCCCCGTAAAATCCCCGTTTGGCAATTTTAAAATCTACTTTTTGTCCCGTCTTTTTCCCTCCATTTGGCAATACAATTCCAATGGGACCGGCTACGTTCCAAGCAGTGCTGCTATCTGTGGGTGTTCAGCGAACTACGTCGACTCTCGTTGTAAAGCAGGACATCCTCGCACGTTATTTGCTATTCGTCAGACCTAAGTAAATTGGAAAGCCAATCACACGCGGCAATCGGGTTTGTTCGGCGCTGAGGGCTGCGCCGTACTGGGGATACGCCCGCCATTTGACGTGCCGCCGCGAACGTGTTAACTTGTTTATTTATCAACAGTAATGCCAATATTAGGCCTACAATATGTTATTTACAAAGTAAGTTGAATAGGGATAACAAAGACTGACAGGATAAAGCAATACTTATAGGCACCCATATTACGTTAACTTATTTATTCATCATTGCCACCAGGATTGATTATTGGGTATTGATTATTATTTAGGATTGGGTTAGTTGCATCGTGTCCGTCACCGCGGTACTTATGGCCGGCCGCGCATTCATTTTTGTAAATAGTTTGTGTCCGTGTTCGTGTGTAGGCTATAACTTATGTTAAATGTACTATGTATAATGACGACGACAAGATGTCACAATATTTTTAAGAGGCAAGAGGCTCGACAATGAAACCTTGATGTTTCGAAACTAGTCGCCATAGACTAATTTTAGGATTGACGACGTAAGGTATGTAACCTATTCATCTTATTGTTAACTTATTGACTTAAATTACTAAAATAGGCCCTAAGTCCTTAAGTGATGAATTAATTTCTAGGACATCCATTCTTTTATATTCGATAATATGTCACGGGTAAGCCTATCTGCAGAACTGTAGGCTAACCCCAGCGGCTATCCCGAACTTACAATGGCACTAGGCTAATTTTATGTCTTCAAACCACAGCAAAGAGCCTGTTAGGCTTCTTCTACTTGGACAAACACCGTATGTGAAAACTTACGCATAGGCCTAGGCCTAAACTAAGTAAGAAACAGGGGTTGGCAAGATAAAAAAGTAGCTTATTCTCAGCGTAGCCTAAGCCACACAGGCACAGTTTCGGGTACAGTCACCCACATATCACGGGGGTACACCCCCGGTCGGGTAAAGTTTCTTAACCCTAGCAGTGGCCAATGTTAGAAGTGGGGAATGGCCAACCCATTTTGGCGATTTTGCAGACCATTTTTTGAAAATTCATAAAAATTCAACCGTACAAGTAAACCTAGCCAACCTCATATTCATTTTGTTCGGAAAGAACAGGAGAATCTAGAAATAGTAATATCATAATGATTTAGACAGTGTATTTTATCGGTAAAGTGAAAAAAATAAAAAAAATTGAATTTTTTTTTTGAAATTTCAAAAGCGGCCTCTGCATTTTTTTTCTACGGATTTTTTTATGGGAAATTCATTATATACATTTTGTAGACAATCTAATTCCCTACATAGAAATATATAGGCCTAACATGTTAGGAAAATATTTTTTTTTATAAGTTTTTGGGGCGAAATATAATGACAAACGGAGAACCGAAAAAATTGAAAACCGTACAGTGTTAGTTTATGTTGTAAAAAGTTCTATAATATATGTGTATACTAATAATGATATATACATGTTTGTAAAGCTAATGAAGTAAGGAATCAAAAAAAGTCATAAAGTTTATGGTAAAAATAATTTTTTACCTATAAACATACGTATATAAAATAATGTTTTTATATTTTAGCGATTTCTCGAGAAAAAAATTCACAGGACTTAGTATACAACTTTTGTACCAAATTTGTTTACTTCAAACCAACATAATAATCTTGTAGTGTATTCAATTACCTACATAAAAATGTATAACATGTTAGAAATATTTTTTTTTTGTAGGTACGTAATAGGGACATAATAATACAATAACCGCAAAACCGCAAATAAGTGTAAACTATAGCCTACAGTGTTTGCTTGTGTTGTGAAACATTATGTAGGCTGATGATATGTAGCCTACATATTTGTAAAGCTAATGAAGTAAGGAATCCAAAAAAGTCATAAGTATGATGGTAAAAAGTTATTTTCACCTATGATTATGTATCAATTTGAGAACGTTTTGAATTTTTTGCGCATTTCCAGAAAATGGAGTGTACAGTATTTAGTAGCCTATATAATTTTTTTACCAAATTTTTTACACCCAAACCAATATAAACATGTTGTAGTGTATTCAGTTACCTTTATAAAAATGTATAACACCTTGGGTAAATCATTATATAGCATATATAGCACCTCTGAATGTCAGAATCGTCATTTTTGAACATGATGCTAACAAAATACAGTAGTAGGCCTATTTAGTATAGGCTATAACTTTTTTACAAAATTTTTTACCCCCAAACAATTATAAACATGTTGTAGTGTATTCATTTACCTTTATAAAAATGTATAACACCTTGGGTATATCATTATATAGGTACAACAATCTCTGAATGTCAGAATCGTCATTTTAGGACATGATGCTAACAAAATACAACCTTTTATGAACACTATTTCACACAATTCAGTAATATTTATGCATGAAGATTACTGTTATACACACACACAACACTTCACTAACACTAACACTACGAAACTAATAACATATTTAGTAATAAATCGCGGATAAAACTATTACGGCAACAACACAAACAAACAATGGCAATACAAGACAGCTGACAGACTGTAGCAGTAATGACTCACTTGTCGTCTACATGCGAGCATACAGAAATAACCCTGAGTGCAGGGCTGCCACTCTCTGAATCTAAATTTCTTCCTCTTCAAAATGATATACTATATGACTAGTAATAATAACTTTCACTGTATATAATTCGTATTTTCCATACTGTCACCAGACGACTGTTGGCCATTTGTTAGAAATTTCTAAAACAGCTGTTTTCATAAAATCGTACCGATTGTGCAATCAATATTTAGTTATAAATATCACTACCACAATGAAGATAAAATCAATGGCTATCCAGTGGTACCACCCGCAATATCCCAAGACGAAAATTACCCGAGCAGGGTAATGCCAAACAAGACGTGTTTTGCCAGTTCCCAAGTGTCGGCTGCAAAAGTCGTACCGCGCCAAAATTTCATTTGATTTCTAATCGTCGTGACATTGTTATATACCTGCTACAGGGTTTGTTTATGTAATCAAATGAAAGTTCAGAATGTGATCTTTCGAATGGTATATATATTATTCTCATCTGAGTTGATTGTAAGTGTTTTTTTTACCGTTAAAAAAATTTCGGCCCATACCGTCACCAGACGACATTGGCCATTCTAAGCATCAACGTCATACCGTCACCAGGCGACGGTTGGCCACTGCTAGGGTTAACTGGGCTATGCTAATATCGATTGAAACTATCGCATGGAAAATATTGATTAATAATCGACATTTTTAAATATATTTATTATCAAATACTATCATAACCTAACCTAACCAACCAAACTTGCTGATGGCGAAAAAATCGCACGAAGGTTTACTAATCGAATCGGTAGTTTCAATCGATATTAGCATAGCCCAGTTAAGAAACTGTACCTCAACGGTCCTCTAACATGGGAAAGTCTACCACTAAAACTTGGGTCTGATATTAGTTAGCCTAGGCCTAGGTGTTAGAATAGAAACGTAAATATGGAGAAACAAATTATGTAGGCCTACTGAACTAACCTATAAATTATAGGGGGTACAGTTTCTTAACTGGGCTATGCTAATATTGATTGAAACTATCGATTCGATTAGTAAACCTTCACTTCATGCGATTTTTTCACTATCAGCAAGTTTGGTTGGTTAGGTTAGGTTATGACAGTTTTATTTTATAATAGCCTAAGTTAGATAATTTAAAAATTTCGATTATTAATCTATATATTTTCAATTCTATAGTTTCAATCAATATTGGCATAGCCCAGTTAAGAAACTGTAAGGTACCTAAGTTGAAGTTTCACCCTTCTAAAATTTAATATTGTAACATACCTGACGTCAGTAACCTAGCCAATAGCCTACAACAATTATATTATTTTAAATTAGATGATTGACAAAAAGTATTATTTACAGGGAATGATGAACGGAAAAATTGTATTTTAATATTTGAAGTCGCGGATATTTTCAGTCAACTTATAAATAAGATGATTTAGGATTAATTTGTTACAATTACTTAACCTAACAGTAACACATACCCTAGTCCGAAGAGAGAGTTACCGGAAAGAGAAAAAGAATAATGAGATATTCATTTTTTCAATATGAATGCCTGCTTCCGCATTTTTCCATAGAGTTTTCATGATGGTTCCGACAACTATTATATAAACAACGTTGAGCACCCGGTTCAAACCACGGCCGCCTTAACTCCGGCGATTGAAACTATGAAATATAGATTGACTTTCAATAGTGCAGTGCCACTAGACTTATCATAATACTAGGCGAAACCCGACGAAATCGACAATTACTTTCAAGGCTTATGCTAATTCATTTAACTGCGATAAATTGAGTGAAATTATACATATTTTGAGCATTTAGCATTGTTTAAAGATCAATAAGTGTAAAAACAATAACGATATTAATTGCGTTAGTTACCAAATATGGTTGATCATTCAACGAATAAAATATTTCCCATACTTTGGAAGAACCTTTAAATAGTATTAAAATCGTATTGGTGGATCTTCTTTTAGTTAAAATCTTCCCCGATTTCATCAGTGTAATAAAGATTAATCTATGATTTTATTTGAGAGAAAATATCTGCTTGTTGAGGAGACACGTTCCAACCTAAAAGGGAGGTCCATCCGTCACAGTGTAAGTTTGATTTTTCCTTCGTCACGTCGCATCAGTTTATATCGTACTTCTGTGCCAATGAATTACCCTCTAGTATAGTTTTAAGAAATTGGTTGTCGATATCGTATTTCTGTGCCAATGAATTACCCTCTAGTATAATTTTGAGAAATCGGTTGTGGTGTTAATGTTAAAGCTAAAAGACACTTCTGCACTTACAACCGAAGATTTTTCCAATGATTGAAAACATGTATGACAATAATCTCACGGACCTATGATGATCTGTCTAGAATAATATGATAAAATATAGCCAAAAGTGGTGAAAAAGGCAGACACCAACCCGTACAATAGATATAAGATAGTTCAATAAGAAATAATTGTTAAATAAGAGTTACTGTGATAAAAGGATTTCCACTGATTTCGTAATGGAACGTTATGTTGCAAAATATGACATGATACAGAAGGAAATCAATTTTGAAATCAGAAAATAACATTTCAAATACTTCTTTTGGACAATTCAGTAACTCCCAATAAATGTGTGTTGTTTAAAATACAATTCAAAAATTAACAGCTGTTTCATTAAAAAGTATTATCCACATGGAAAAAATGTAAACAAATCTGTAGAGGGATCTTTAAGGGCTTCTGGGACAGAGCCCTAACGGGATTCACTTAGTTTTTCTTTTGGTAACTCATCTAGAGACCAAGGTCTTTCTTTGGACACCTCTACCAAGTTTCTACGCCCAGTCGTTCTCTCAAATTAATGGAGACAAATTTTCCAATTAAATATTTAGATTCCCCCATGTTAATCTTATGGGTGAAAATCCAACTTTGATGGTAGATCCTGCCCAAACTAATAAAGATTTCAAAAACGAAAAAGACTTTGCAAAACTACAGATCAGGGCCATTCATTTGACACTTTAATCATCAAAATCGGTCCAAAAATGAGGGAGGAGTTCTGTTTACAAAAATCGGCTTAGCGTATTATATATATAGATTGTGAAATTTAAAGCGTATGTTTATCAATATTTCATGTTAGTGAAGTTCAAGTAACGTTTCAGTAGCCTATGGATTAGACAATAGCCTAATTTGTGTGTGCTTCTGCATAGCCACCTTTCCGTGTCGGCTGGATCACGGCCACCTTTATCTGCCAATGATCATTAGACAAGACGATAAAAGACTCAGCAATCATCATCTTAATTAAACATGTAAGAGTGACAAAACTTCCATTTTTGAACAAGACAATTGCTGCTATAATTATTTAAAAAAAGAATTAATTTTATAAACTTTTGAGGAACTTTATGGATTGAGAGCTGTATTTGCATCATGGAAATTTAATAACGAAAAATCAAAGGATTTGTTTTATTCGTTCTTATAAAACACAGGTTTAAGGGTTACATAATAATAATAATAATAATAATAATATAACAATTTTAAAAATTAATACATTTTTAATAACGTAAATAAAATCATTAAACCTTTGGGCCATTTTTAAAAAGAGTTTGTGTGCCTCGTGTTAAGACTGATTGTAGGATGCCATTGGCACTTTTAGCAATGCGTGGGAAAGGGTGGCAAATTTTAGGACTTGCCCCTCCCCCCCCCCTAGAAAAGTGTGCAGCTGCGGCCTGCCGAGGTCGCTGGAGACGATTAGCAACAGTTTCGCCGAGACTCCAAGACACGCTTACGCTGTCGTGGGAGACGATTACCAATGTCGCGAAGAGCGCAAAAAGTTATGTTCCTCCCGAAATCCGACCTTTTGGCCGTTCCGATTCCGGCCCGGTCCAGTCATGATCGGACATATGAGAGGTTCTCTAGGTGGATTTGCAAGGTCGTGTGTTGAGGGGTTGGTCTATGAGGTACATGCCTAGGGAAGTTGAATTTGTTGCTGATTTTATCAATGATTCTCCAGATTCAGATTGTATACTAGTGAATTTATCAGTTTAAGTTTTTTTAATGTTAATTTTGAGGTCCAGGTTTACATCTTTCTATGGATTGTTCTTTTGCTTCGTTGTTTCATTTATGTTTTTTGCTTCTTGGCCACTTTTTAAGGAAAGACAATGGTTGTGTCGTCTGCGAAGATAATGCCTTACGATGATCACAGACTTTTGAATGATTCTGTTTTTGGCCAAATGCCAATGGGTGTCAGTCATGGAACTCACCCTAAAATCTTCACCTAGATTTATACCTCACAAACTTGTTAAAGAAAGTGTCTAACAGGGTTACGTTACAAAAGGGGTATGGAGGGAGAGAAGAGGGATGAGTTTATCATGACAAAACAAGCGCATTACGTAATATTCGGATGGCCCCTACAATTAATTGATCGTACATGTTCCTATCGAGGGATATTATCAACACTATCGGCAGCCACTTTAGATTTAATATCGTTATCGTTATTGTCACGTAATCACTCGACATCACTGAGCTATAATTCTAACTGGAGGTAGCACTGAATGTCAAAGATGCGTGTCGCCAGCCGCCATGTTTGCGTGAGTCTGGTGTCATAAGAAGCCATATTATTGCTATAACTATTATTAAACTTGGCTTAAAATACCTACTTTGTATGGTCACCATTTCAAAGAAAATTATTAAAGTATTAAAAGTATTCAAGTATGACAAAAATACTCACTGCTATACCAACCTAGTTATAAGAAGCCATGTTATTGCTATGGTAAGAAAACTTACTGCTATACCAACCTAACAAAATCAGCGACTCGCTTTTGACAGACTTATGCCATGGCAGTGCTACCTCCAGTTATAATTTTAGCTCAGTGCTCGACATGCGATACCAAACCAACTCACTTGGTTTAAAAATTGGTTCTTCCCATTTTTTTTACCCTAAAAACAAAAAAAAAATTCAAATTCTTACCAAACCATATTGTAGATCTAAAATAACAAATAATTTAGTATTTTGAAGCGTTACTGAGCCTAATGGTTGCAAAGAAAATTAAAAATAGTGTAAATTTAAAATTCCCATGTTATTCTTATGGAGAATAAGTAAACTGTTGTAGTTTGCTTGTTTATGAACATATTTTGATCAAATTTGGAAAATGCATTTATTTCATACTAAACTATTAACATTAAAAATAAAAACACTTCTTTACCCTCCCTGATGCAGCAAACCTAAGTAATTGTTAAACTAATACTATTTAAATAGGGAATAAATGTGATATTTTTAAGGAGACATTTTAAAGTAAATTCAATCAGGCAAATGGAAATTCGCTTAGTCTGCAGGTCTGCTGTGGCGGGGGCATTGGTTACTTCGGTTACTTTTACTGGTCACTACTTCACTTCACTTCACACTTCATATCACTCACTTCCATCCCCACCCCATCCACTTGTTGGTTTGGCTCTTGGTTGTGTTGTGTTTACTGTTTCACTGTTTGTTTAGTGTTTGTTAGGTTAGGAGGTTGGAGACCGGGAATTGTTATCAACGCCTTATCTTTTGTTAATGAAATTATTGTTTGTAATTTTAAGTACATTATCTCAATGCTTTTTACTCGAGCAGGTTTCATAAATCGCCATACTCAGCTAAGTAAGAGTTTATTTTTTCTGAAATTATCACCTATATTTTGCACAATGAGTTTAGCGAGATATCAACATAACCTCATTGCAGTTTGTCAAATGAGTGCTAAAAACAACAAAGATGATAATTTTAAAGTTAGCAAAGATTTAATCCACAATGCAGCTGCAGCTGGTGCTAAGGTAAGATATTCTTGCTACTATATGCTAACACCACATTAAGGAACAAACACTTGTTTCTAACAAGGAATTGGCTTGTAGAAAACTTTTCGCCCATCATAAGATCGAATATCTATCATCAGGGGTACAGTTTTTGGGTACACTTCCATATCTGTTGGCACAAACAGCCAAATGAAAATATCGATGGATATATCGGTTATTCGATATATCATTTGGTTAGTTAGGTAAGGTTAACCTAACCTAACCAACCAAACGATATATCGAATTAAACAATCGAATAATCAATATTACTCATTCGGTTGTTTGTGCCAACAGATATGGAAGTACCCCAGTTTTTTAACTGGGCTATGTTAATATCCATTGAAACTATCGATTCGATTAGTAAACCTTCATGCGATAGTTTCAATCGATATTAGCATAAGTTAGCCCAGTTAGGAAACTGTACCTACCCATAATTAGCTCTTGAAAAAAAGTTTTTTAACTCCTGTCAGTACGCAGTTTTCCTGATAGGAGGTTGATATCATCCCTCTTTAACTTAAATCCTTAAACAGGTTATTGCCACTGTATTTTCATCTGGCTTGCAGCGATGGTCTCACCCAGTACTCTCTCGGTCTCCGCTGTGTTGATAGGATTAGAATTACTCTTAACTCATATATTTGTTGTTCTTCAAACTACCATAGATGATTTAATTAGGCCTATTCATCTATGCTATTACTCTTCACTCGTATATTCCTTGCTCTTAAGTATTTTCTGTAAATTTATAGGTAATTTTTCTTCCTGAGGCGTTTGATTTTGTTGGGGAGAGCAAAGAAGAAACTTTTAACCTAGCAGAACCCTTAGAAGGACCACTACTTAACAGTTACAAACAACTAGCAAGAAACTGTAAAGTTTGGTTATCACTTGGTGGGATGCATGTCAAGGTAAGTTAATGCGTCCTATACTATCACTTAATATTATAGGCCTAGATATCGGTAATCAAAACATAAAATTGGGATATTTACCTTAAGACACCTTCAACAATTTACTTTGTTACTGGTATGTGAGATGTTTACCATTTATAGGAGTATTGTACTACAAAACTATGTCAATTTTTCTATTCTTGAGTATTAGAAGTGACTAGGCGAAACCCGTCGAAATCGACGGTTACTTTGAAGGCTTACGTTAATTCATCCAACTGCGATAAATTGGGTGAAATATACATATTTTGAGGATTTAGCATTGTTTAAAGAGTAATAAGTGTAAAAACAATAATGATATTAATTGCGTTGAATGAAATTAAATTGAATGAAATTACTTCAGTGATTTCATCAGTGTAATATGGTTTTATTTCAAAAGAAAATATTTTTTTGGGAAGATATATTCTAACTTCAAAGGAGGGTATATCCGTTACAGTGTAAGTTTGATTTTTCCTTTGTCACGACGCGTGTCTCGTCAGTTCATATCGTACTTATGTGTCAATGAATAACCCTCTAGCATAGTTTTGAGAAATTGATTGTGGGGTTACTGTTAAAGCTGGAATTCCTTGCCATGGGGGATGTTAGTTAGTTGTCTCAGCCTTATCAATAACATAAAGTTGTCAATATAATCTTTCTACGGAATGTTAGGTGTAGTAAAATACTTAAAAAAAGTGAAGTTGGCTTTTATTCTTGAACTGTTAGGGACCTCCTGGTTCATATGGTCTTGCAGCTTCATTGGCAACAAATAATGCAAATGACATAGCAATGGGACATTTCCAAAAAGCAAAAATACTGTAAATTGGCTGTTACGCATATATTGACGTTTACATACCTATTGTTAATCAACGTATCTTATAAATGATTATGTGATCTAGCTTGAAAGGAACACGTATGACCTTTCTGTCATGACAGTAGCTGCTTAAATAGTATTTTCTCTTTGTACCATATTTTACAGCCAAAATGTCGTGTTATTTTCAATAATGTTACCAACCCAGTGCACCAAAGTCCTTAATATAGGAAAGTGCAAATAATTTTATTTATTTATTTATACGGTAAACACCATTTTTACAGTCAATAATACATGAGATTCAAGTTACAAGATAAATATTTATAAATATATATAAGCCAGATACAGATTCATCTTGCTAAGTAATTTGTCAAGATAGGTACCATTTTAGGCAAGGTTTCTATGTTTGAATTTTATTAGACACGATAAGAGCAGATATTTCTACATAAATAATTGGTATGTGTAGAATAATATGATAAAGTGTAGGCAAAAGGGGTGGTGAAAAAGGCAGACACCAACCCGTACAATAGATATAAGATAGTTCAATGAGAAATTATTTAAGAATTGCTGATAAAAGGATTTTCCACTGATTTCGTAATGGAATGTTATACTGTATTGCAAAACATGACATGATAAAGAAGCAAAATCAATTTTAAAATCAGAAAATAACATTGCAAATACTTATTTGGTAGAATTCAGTAACTCCAAATAAATGTGTGTTGTTTAAAATACAATTTAAATAGCTTATTCCCAATGGGAATTCCCTAATAAAAATGAACAGCTGTTTCATTAAAAAGTATTATTCATATGACCAAAATGTAAACTCTGTGGAGGGATCTTTAAAGGCTTCTGGGGCAGAGTCCTAAGGAATTTTGCTTACTTTTTCTTTTGATAACTCATCTACAGACCAAGACCTTTCTTTGGACACCTCTACCAAGTTTCTGCACCCAGCCGTTCTCTCAAATTAGTGGGGACAAAGTTTCGAATTGAATATTTAGATTACCCCATGTTAATCTTATGGGAGAAACTCCAACTTTGATGGCCTGTGGGGCAAAGCCCGGGGATTTTTATTACAGGAATTGCTGAAAGGGGGCGTCTACACAAAAAATACTTTATTTTGATACGTCGTTTGTAAAAATCCGTCCATTATTAACGGAGGAGTAGTGTTTTGTAGAAATCGCCTTCACAACCTTATTAAGGATTAAATATTGTGTATAATGAAGCCTATCTCATGTAACATGATGAAATCTCGGAATTAGTAAATTTTAACTCAGGAATAGGTAGGGTACTTTAAGAGACTGGTCTACTTGATATTGTATGCCAAGCACATGGTAGCCTATTCAGATACTTTCCATGCTTGATCTGTCTGCAGAAAATTCAGATTAAATTTTCTTTTATCAAGGTATGATGTATGGAATATGTAATAACTTTAATTTTATATGATTTTTTTTAGAAAGATGGGACTCAGTTGCTGACAAATACCCACTTTATGATAAACGATAAAGGGGACATCGTAGCAGCTTACGACAAAGTGCATCTGTTTGACGTCGACATTCCTGAAAAGAAGATAAGACTTAAAGAATCTGATATGATCCAACGAGGTGAAAATATACTACCACCTATTGAATCACCCGTAGGAAAAATCGGACTAGCAATAGTATCCTTTTAGATGCTGTAACACAAAAAAAGGAAACTTTCAATTTAACTACCGGTATCCAATAAAATCCAAGGGTTAAGGCAAACAATAAACATATTATTTTGAATCATAAAAATTTGCAGAACACCTAAAAACTGTTAATTTTTTAGCTAGGCCTACCGTCTCTCTGTGTCTAGATAATTTCTTTAAGACAAACATTACTGTACAATTTTATGCTGTAACACGAGAGTGTACAGTTAGTGCAACTCTTCAATACTGCATTCATTCATGCATTCTTGGTTGATTTGTTGTATTAAAAATCAAAACCTTAAAGCTTTAGTGTGACATTGGAGGTCGTTAATTTCCCTTCTAATCTTGCCTTGAGAATGCTGACAACCTATTACCAAAATCATAAGCGAATTTAAACTTTGTTTTTCAATTTCCATCTTTGTTCATATACATTTATCTCATGAGGTTACACATATTTCACTGTGCTCTTACTGTGTTGTTCCTTAATGTACACAGTGCTATGATTTAAGGTTTCCAGAGTTGAGTTTAACTCAAACTGCTCTGGGGGCTCAAATCCTGACATTCCCATCAGCATTTACATTTGCCACTGGCTCCGTCCACTGGGAGGTTCTCCTGCGAAGTAGAGCCATTGAGAATCAGTGTTTCGTTGTTGCCGCAGCTCAGACTGGCGTGCACAACAAGAAACGTTCGTCTTGGGGTCATGCTATGGTAACAAAAATAAACTGTATCAGAAAACTGACACATACATTTTCTATGTGTCCAATTAATTGTTGTGGGTAAGCGGAGGTAGTGAGCTTATTATATCATGAGCTTTTATGGGAATAATCTTGTCCTCTTTATTGCTTAATTGCTTTTGAACCGTTTATGGTTATCTATGGTAATCTAGTGTTTATGGTTGGGCCAGTCTTTGACTATTACAGTATTACGTCAATACTACAGTAGGTCTATAACATTCTGTATTTAACTAAAATTGCCAGAGCCAGTTTTGTAAAAATAAGACTTTTCTGTTATTTTATGGGCTTTTTGTAGAGAAAGCATTGTTATAAATAAAAACTTTCAGAAAAAAACTTATGAAGATGCATGCTATAGATTAGTATTCACTTGCTAAATTTCATCCAAATAAGACCACAGGTAGTCTGTATATCTGTAAATATCCACACTTAAAGACACATACATACAGACACACATTAGGATGGTGTATAAAAATTCAAGTTGTGAAATTAAAGTTGCTATAGTTCAGAAAAATTGCAATTGGTAGGCTAAGTTACATAAGAACACACATGCAAATACAGCTATCACTTTGAAAGTTTTTTGTTCAAGGGGATCTAAAACGAATATTTAATCCTCAAACGCAAACTCAATAAATTTGACAATAACTATGATTTTACCATATCCAGTTCTATGTATAGGGAGAGGAAGAAAAACTAAAAATGTATTTGTTTTAATCGGGTTTTCTTTTTCCTGATGGCTACATGCCAAAAAAAGGTGTTACAAAAGTGTTTTGACAATGATTCATTAAGAACTGAAAAACATTATTTGTGACAGAGGCTTGACGTAAACTGAAAATAATAGTGTAATTGTTCTTTTGAAATTTTAAGAAAAATTTGCACTTTACTGATTGATTCCCGAAAAGCTTAAATAGTACTAATTACCTTTGAACCAAAAGGTTTGTCGGTTTGGCGGTTTCTTAAATCAAACTGCTATATTTGACAATCAATATAAAGCTTTGATACAAACATTTAGCACCAATTTAGAGTAAAATTTATCTTATTTTATAATTTCACCATGTAAAATGAAACATGTAGATTAAATATCTATTCAATTTTAATCAAACAAGATCGTTTCAAACTGGACCCAGATACCATTGCCATTTAATAAACCTACTGAACACAAATGATCGTTAGATATTAACAAGACAAGAACATTCATTTGGACAGATTCATCACCAGAAATGTATAATATCCAAGGGCGTAGAAAAACACAACAAAAATAAAACAAATGTAAAATGCTATTTTATTATTATTATGATTTCAACCGATTTCTCGTCGTTGCAGGTGGTTGACCCGTCAGGAACTGTGATAGCCCAATGTTCAGAAGGCACTGGGTTTGCATTGGCCGACATTGATCTTCAGTCGTTACGCAACGTGAGGATATCCATGCCTGTCTGGACCCATAGGAGATACGACTTGTACCCGTCCATGGTCCAGACATCCTCCCAGGACCCGGACGCTTCCCCCCACTACCAGTTTGGACAAGTCCAAGTTCCTGCGGCTGGAGTGTTTTATAAGACGAGATTGTCATTTGCCTTCACTAACAAGAAATGTGTTGTTCCCGGCCGTATCCTTTATAAGTTGCGGTGTTTTCTATGTTTTATTACCTTTTTTTTAACTAGGCAGAATTGTTTACTTTTTTTATAAAATCTCCAAAGTTTTTGAAAAAGAATTGCACTTTGAATATTAAATAGATAAATTATTGGGATAGCAACAATTTCTCTCTGACCATTTCCATCTTAATAGGTTTGAGGTTGCTGACCTGTTTGTTGAGACTTTTTACTGTTTATAGCAACAGTAATTTTTCATCTGTCACTAATGCGACCAACAGATCATATTAAATTTGTAACTAATATATTGTTCAAAGGGGATTTTTGTTACTTTTGCTTACATTTGTGTGTAAACAAACCACTATTTTTGAAGAATTTAATTTCATCACTGCCACAAATTATAATTTTATTCAAGCAAATTCCCCTGATTAGTGAAATTTTTATTGTATTTTTAATGTGAGGCCTTCTAGTGAAGTACTTTAAATGAATTTTGTCATTTTGCAATCAATGGGAAAAAGGTTGGTAGGGTACTGGACTAGCCTATATACAATACTCCCCTAAAACTTTTAATTCCTTCTGCATTCAAAACTATTATTCTGACTGATGTAGGGGGAAACTCATATCATTATCTGCATTTTTAGACACTGATAAATGTTTTTTGTTCAAACTATATTTTTCTTACACCCGATAACAATCTAGTTCTTTGATTTTAAAATATTTAAAACCTCTATCATCTAAAACCTATTGATCGCATTTTCTGTAAGTGCAAAGCATTGGAGCTAAACACCAACCCTTTCTGAAGAATGATGATTTGTTTTATATCAAGAGTAAGTAAATTAATTCTCCAAAATATGTCTATTTCCTACAGAAATTTGTACATCTTGGCTTCTCTAAACTTTATAAAAATCCATAATGGTTTTTTTTTATCCAAATTATTTTTGATATCCGACTATCCAAACCATTTGATTACCCAAACCACCAGCCAGAAACTTTCCTAAACACAATGTTTCAGATGTTCTTGTAGCACCTCTGAGGCCAGTTACAAGGATGGACGATCTGACTCAGTCGGAAGTTGCTGATCTTTTCCAAACTGTACAAAAAGTTGAAACTGTGTTGGAAAAAGTCCACAACACCACGTCATCAACTCTAACTGTCCAAGATGGTCCACTCGCTGGCCAGACAATAAAGGTAAATAAAACTAAAAAAAATTGTTTGGTCCTACTTTGGATCAATTAAGTCTCATATTAGACACTAAATATCTCAAGACAAAGCAAACTATTCATTTTTATCAGTATTTATAAACATAGTATATATATATAAAAAAATGTATTTAGCCTAGAAAGAAAGAGACAACTTGTATAAGGACAATTTTATCCATGCCGAAGCACCTGTATGTACATACATCCTGTAATATTCAGTACACTTTGGGCAAATAAATATCATTCATTCATTCATTCATTCAGTCAGTCATTCATTCATTCACTCTTCATCTGGAGAGAAATAAATCAAAACAGTTGAGCCAAATGAAGGGATGTAGTGATATCTTAATTCTTATTCTGTGGGGTAATTAGAGAGAGGAATGGGAGGGCAGACACCTCCTCTAAATTGTAGAGGGATATATTGATACATAATTATTCACAACACAACCTCATGCCTTCAGTCCGTGGTTTGATTGAAATTATTTTCATTACTTTTTCCTTTAAAACACTGGACAATTCTGTAGAGTGTACAATGTACATTAATGTAATTTTAACTTATGTTTCTTTTCTTCTCTAACTAATATTTTTTAACAAATTTTGAATTGTCTTTCAATTATTTTCCAGCACGTTCATGTGCATGTACTGCCTCGCAAAGAAGGGGATTTCCCAGAAAACGACCAAATCTATCACGAGTTACAAACGCATGACAAGGAAGAACCTGACAAGAAATGGAGAACTGAGGAAGAAATGGCTGCTGAAGCAGATATTCTGCGGAAATACTTTTACTAAGTATGATCTAGTAACCAAAGTGATGTAGACATTTTGGGCAGGGTGATACTAGAATATTTGTAGGCAATATTCACATTACTAATATCAGCCCTCTCTCAGGCATAGTCTCATACTTGCTTAGGGGGATCGGAATCAAATCCAGATACAGTAGTCTAGTCTTGCAGTGGAATAAGTCCAGCTGGGGCAAAGTCGGAAAACAAAAGAAACGAGAAAATATCAAAGAAATTTGGATGATAGAAAATCAGATAATCAATATCAAGATGTGTTTTTAGTAATGTTATGATCCACAGACAAGCAAGATACACAGGATACACTCAATAGTACACTTAAGTAGTGTCTAGCCCCAGTCACTTGTGTCTACTTCAAATTCACCCCATCCGCTCTTCTTTGTCCCCTCACCATCACATACTACAGCGCTCACTCTGTAGGAAGAGCCTGTGCGCTACAACTGCTGTTGTAAACAATAGCCGTTCTGGCTCTTCCTGGCTCGGTACTAGTATATTTACGCCCCACCAAATCTATGGTTCCTCTGTATATCTTACTTCTCTGTGTACTTACTTTCAGTCAAATCAAGATATGGGGGAAAAATACAGTGGGAATTTCCAAACCATGTTTGTGCCTAAGTATAAATCTATTATCAACATTTGTGTCATTGTACAGTTGTAAATAAAGTATTGTATTTTCGTACAGTCTTTTATATAATAACAACCTCTTGTCAAATTTCCCATAGAGGGAATAAGCTTTTACTGTAGGTGTCATGGTAAGACCTGAACTCGGGCCCGATTTACGTTTTCATTTTGAGGTTCCCAGAGGCCAAAAATACCCCTGTTCAAAGTTTTATATATATATTTACTATATTATTAACTGATTGAAATATTAATATAACCTTTTTTTCACCCGTCGGGAGGGGGGACCCTATACTAATTCCATATGACTTGGTTACTATAAATATTTAAATAACAACCCAGGAGACGCACAGGCAGCACTTGCCTATGTCTGCTGTATTTCATATAATCAATTGAATTAGTTTATACAGAACTGTTCTTTTTTATTCTTAGTCTTAGTTTTTTTGTAATTATATTTTGTATTTAAAAGTATATTTTTGTTTTCAGTATATATTATGTGGAAATAAATATAATTCATTCATTCATATATTTATGTCTGTGTCTGTTAAAACGATAACTCAAACAAAAATGATCCGATTTTGATGAAATTTGGTATTAACGTGTAAACCTCATTCAAACAAGTTCAGAAGCTATTTGGAAATGGAGAAAATTTCAATAATTTGTAAATTTAAAATGTTCATGTTATTCTTACATAGAGAATAAATGCACCAGTTTGCTTGTTAATAGATACTGTACATATTTTATAAAAAAAAACAACAAAAAAACCTCATTAAAACCCTTTTAGATGCAAATGATGTTATTTAAATTGGAAATAAATCTGACAATTTAAATTGAATTATTTTTTAGTGGAAAAAGCCTAATGAAAATTTGCTGAGTCTGCAGGTTTGCTGTGGCGGGGGGGGGGGGGGGATTCATACATGTGTAATTTTAGATTTAAAGGGTGGCTGAAAAACTTTATATCATAGTTTAAACGAATTTCCCTATAGGGAAGTATAGCTATTACCTATTAGAATATTAGCTATTAGTGGGGTCTCATGGTAAGACTTAGGCCCGGGACCGATTCACTTTTTCATTTTGATGTCCCCAGAGGCAAAAAGCCCCATTCGTTCAAATTTTTATATATTGTCCATCCAGACGATAACTTAAGTTTGTCTGATTTTGATAAAATTTGCTTTGAAGGTGTAAGGCCGGACAAACTAGAATGAGGTTGCGAACCAGCATGATTGGACCATGTGAACGGAGTTTTATGGGGTGAAAATGGGTTTTTCTTATTTTTTACCCTTAAAACACAAAATTTATCAATTTTTCTCCAGACCTGTTCATAAATAACAAAAAAAATTTTGTATATCAAAGTGTTTTTGTATGATGATTGGTTATGGAGAAAATTTAAAAAATTGTTAATTTAAAATTCTTATTTTATTTTTATGGAGAATATTGTAAAATGTTGTAGTTGGCTTGTTTATGGATATATTTTGATCAAACTTGGCGGATTTATTCATTATTTTACCAAGCTATTGATATTTTAATTTTAATAAAAACACACTTTATTTGTTTCCCTGTAGCAGCTACCTAGGTACTCGTTAAACATAAATATTAATTTAATAGATTAATTTAAAATCAATCCAGGCAAATGGAAATGTATTTCCTGCAGCGGAGGTATTTTACATACAGGCACCCATTCAACCATTGTCGTTTCACACAATTTTTTTATAGTGGTAATATTTTTGTTAAGGAAAGTAAAAAATATATATAAAAAATGGTTAAGTGATGTTTATTCCCCGCAATTGGACACTCTGTTCATCACCAGACCCAATAAGAGAATGATAAGAACCTCCCTCCTGTGATTGTGAAGTTCTAGCCCAGAGAGCTGAACAAAACCCTACTGAACTGACTACTGAGGCTGTTTTAGGAGTTTAGGACTGTGTCCTCTTCTTGTCCTCAACATTACCAGAAGTACCAGCCAGGGAGTTTCATTAAGTACAACTACCCTTTTCCACTTTTCAGAAAGGGTCAATTGTATTTCAGAATGGTAATTTTAATTTCAGAAATCATCACTTTTATTTCAGAAATGATCATTTATATTCCATAAATAATTAGGCTATTTGCATTTCAGAAGATCAATTGTATTTCAGAAATAATTTGTGTAAACAGCTTTGTCATCAAGTATTAGGAATTGGCTATGATATGAATTCATTATGAGCAAAAAACGTTTAGTTAGTATAATTTTGGTATCATATGATGTGATTCAACTTGAAAAAAATATCTCATTAGGCCTGGTCAAATCAGAAAAAATCGTGATAAACGGCTGAAGTTTCCAGGCTAACCTAATTAACCTAAACTTAACCCACCCTGTGCTCCTTATAAATTAAAATTATATTTGAATCAGATCCGCTACGACAGTGCAAAACTGTCTAATCGATCATTTCTGAAGTACAATTGACTTTGTCTGAAATACATTTGCCTAACCCTCAAGTATATGAGACAATTTCTGAAATACATATGAATACTTCTGAAATTCAATTGATGTTTACTAAACTAAAAGTTACTAGTCTGGAATGCAAATGATACTTTCTGAAATAACAATGATAATTTTGAAATACAATTGATGCGTTCTGAAATAGACTTGACACTTTCTGAAATAAAATTAGAGAAGGTATAGAGTCAAAATTTAATTGTACATTAATTTGCTTATTAAAAAAAATTCCTTATAAATATAAAAATTGTCCTAACATTCATCGCACATTTGCTTTCGTACAATTCTCTAAAATATATAGTTTTCCTTCAATTTTCGTAATGAGTGGTAATTTTGTAAAAAAATTGTGACAATCGATCTTTCCGGTTTGTTGTTTCAGATATTTCGGTTTTGACCTTTTTTTTTAATTTTACAGTTTGTTCAGTGTTTTGTAAAACTCCAATAAGTATGTGTTGATCGCTTCTGAATAAATTCATATCTTTAACTAAGAAGTAACTTTCATATGAAGTAGACAGACACCACCTCCATATTTTTACAATACATATAGGTACTACGTCCCTCTGATACTGGGACGGGTGGCGTCGTCCTGTAAGCTACTAGGAGGTCACGAATTGTGGATATATTTATAGGCATGCACTGTGGATGCGATACTCCCTGGTGTAGATTAACGTCCGCATTTAAGAACTATAAGACAATCCGCAGAAGTTATTAAATTATTCAGAGCAGTTGTACATCTAGACATCTTTCTGAAACCCTATAAGCATCAGGGGGTGAAAATCCCTGTTTTTATTGCTATCTAATCCATTACACTCTGACTGTTTTATTAAACTCCAAAATCAAGCATTCTCCTAAATTATAAGCTATACCACAAAGTCAGAATTATAAGCTATAGAGCAAACTCGGAATAATTATAAGCTGTGCCATAGACTAACCAACGTATGTTTTATCTATGGCTGTGCTACCTACTACATATTTGATAATTATAAGCTGTGAAACTTACAACGTTTCATACATATATTAGTTTCATAACGTTTTAGAGAAACTATGGCATAACTTATAATTATTTGTGAAAGTGTGGTGTAGCTTATAACTAATTTTATGCTATATTTTCAAGACTATAAGCTATGGAACAAACTCCCCATTATAAGCTATGCCATTATAAGGTATGAGACCCCACGGAAAGCTGTGTAGTGTTTTGTTAAAAAAACTAGCTGATAACAAGAGAAAAGAAAAAGAAAATGAAATTTCAAAGAGGCGCACCTTGACAATAAACAAACGGCTCGTGTTGTGTTGTGTATTTTTATTTTGTTGACTTTTTGGTTTGAAACTAAAGTTAGTTGCTAATAATAACTAACTTGCACGTTTTATTCGGTCTAGGGTTTAAGATTTGAGGACTGTTTGTCAAGTTTATTGCTACGTTTAGTTTAGAAAGATGTATTCATCAAGCACGCAGAGACGTGCCTGGACGTACAAGAATGTACAACAACTGGAGAGAGAAAGACAAAAGTCCAATTCAAAGTACATAATGAATTTTAAAGATAACAAGGTAAACAAATATAAGCTCTACTCTAATGTAATTCAATCTAATAGTACCTTTCTTTAACTTAAGAACTTGTCGACAGCAAGTGTGTGTAACGTTGTAAATAGGACCGGTAACATTTCTTGGGACTATCAGTGTTTGGTGACTTCAAACTCCAATGACAGTGCTAGGCCAACTTGCATTAGTTTTTTAATTAGGTAGGCCTACCTCTAATCGATATGCCTTTGGTTCCTGAAGCTTTATTTGAGGCAATACTGTAGACCTAGGTATACATTTTTAGAGGAACCATTAAATTAACTGATGATGCTGGGTTCACTTACTTAACTTACCCTAGTTAATATCACTTCTAAGTTATAAGTTAAGTTCTATTTTTTTTAGGAACCAAGGAAAAATAAATATTCTCAGTTGGTTCCTGAAACTAAAAAAACTTATAAACAACTCTTCTTTGGAAAGAGAGCTAAGTAGGGGTACCGGTACCTATTTAGTGGACCTAATGCCTTAACAAATAACTTACAGGCCCAGGTGTGTTTCTTGATTTATTGGGTTTTAGGAACATAACCTTAGCCTAGGCCTAGTTGTTACAAGGACATGTGTTCCTAAATCCGGTGTAAATGTGGCTATACAATTCAGATTTAAATTGAAGAGGAAAGCAGCCTATTTAAAGTGCGGCTGTTACGTCGGCAACAAGTATTCAAGTCATGGGCACTTAACTTACCGTACCATGCTAAGTTAACTTTGTTTTAAAAACTGAGTTTTTCTTTATTTAAACTTATGAGGAGACCACCTCATTTGAGTTGGCCACAGTTTCAAAATGTTGTCGTCCCTGTTAACCTTGCCCTCTGGATTTAGATCTGTAACATCTGCAAGTAGACCCTAGCAATAGGCCCTAACTTAATATGGCCACACTAAAGATAGGTAATTAATCATGATGGTAATAGGAAAGGACCAAGCACCGATCCCTGTGGCATGCCATGGGTGTCATAGGCTTTAATAACACGGCCCACCTGCCCCAGGTTGTGCAAACAGTCGAGACTGCTCCACCTAACTTAAATCTTACAGCGAGAGAGCTTGCGGGTGAGTAACTTATGCTGTGAGATACTAAAGCCTACATCAAAAGCCTTACTAAGGCCACAAAGGCTAAATGCGTTTAATGCATTACATGCTTCTAAGGCATCACCAATATAACTCACTTCCAAGGCTATGAAGCGCTGAAGTGGTAGCATTTGTAATCTTAAAAACATGTTCAGCATCCAGGCATAAAGAGATTTTTGTCCTAAAAACTCTAGTAGGTAGCTGGTAATTGTGTAGCTCATCCAAGATCTTAGAGGAGATAGGTAAGATGGAGATCACTCTGCAGTTTTATGAAGAAAGGTTGGTTGGCCTTTAGGTAGGGCCTACTTAATACAATAGGGTCTATCCATATCAAGTGATCCAACAGGGGTTGCTTGACCATTTTTAAAATAAATAATATTTTTATCCTAGATACCTTTATCAATTTCGGGTTCAAAAGTGATTTTAAAAATTTGTTATCTATTTTGTTACTCCTACGGCGGCCATTTTTGTTTTGCGGAACACGCAAATTTTTGCTAATGTAAGGGTTTGCGTTAACTTGCACAACTCGGTAACCATGAACACTAGAGTGATGAAATAAAAAGCATTTTAATCTGGAAGAAACAGCCTAAATATTATGTTCTGTACATATTTATTGAAATGTGTATCAAAAACAGTTTTAAACCCATCTCAACATTTCATAAGAAAACAGAATAATTTCAACTTTTGAAGGCGTATTACCATTGGAACGAATAAAATCTCAGACTTGATTTTTTTTTGTGTGTAGCAACTCAGTAGAACAGTTTGTATTTCAAATATCAACCATGAGACTTAATTCCTTTAAAAGTTATCATTTTTCAAAAACTGAAATTTTTTGAAAAATTCAAATTTTGAGTCTCAATATCTTTGTTGGGACAAAGTTTAAAAATCTGAAATTTTTACCAAAAACCCCTCTTATGGTTGTTATACTGCTGTATGAATTTCATCTTTGAGATTTACTTTTAAGCTAAGTTACAGTATCATGAAAATCGCAAAAACCCCATAAGCTTGGCCAACGCGGCTAGTACTGTAGGTAGCTTAAAAATTAATTTATAGGTGTAGGTAATTATTTTATTTAATGTAAACTTACCTTAGAACTTACTTTAAAGTAATGTATAGCCTTTTCTTGCAAATTTCTTGTCTTATGTGAAATAAAAAAAAAACTTTTTATCAGATCATTTTCATTCAGGTTTACACCTTTTTTTCAATAGGCCTAAATATTTTGAACTCATTTATTAATTTATTGAACCACTTTCATTTTAATAAAGAATATTAGATATTTCACATACAAAAGCTGTTTGAAAGACAAGTTCTTAAAGTATACAACTTTTTTACTTGTTAGTGTTTTTTGTTCTACTTTGATCATGCTAATTAGGAAGTTTGGATGTTTCTTCATTCAGTTTGGGTTTGTCCTTCCAGTGGTTTTTGTCAGTTAAAAGAGATTTAATTTTCTCAAAACTTTGTTTATGGGCACCCAAGCTTGGTCTTTCTAATTTGTTTTAAAGGCGGTTGGTTGTTGGTCCTGCTGGATCTTTATTTTGATAACTGATGTCAATCACCTCTGCCACCCACCACTGTCATACACAAATGCAATAGAGTCTTTGGTATGAAGTGTAATTTTGACAGCTTTCAGTTGCTAGTGAGGTTACGAAGCACCTTACATATTAATTACTTCTGTCCAGTACAGGAATAAAACAATGGAAGCTTCTTGTTCCAGTAATCTTTAAACAGTTCTCAAATCGGTCTAGGAGTTTGTTGTTGTGGTGTTGAGTGATCTCTTCATCTGTTATAAAAATGAATTATTTTGTTAAGAAAAACTGTGTTTTGTGACTCATTTACAACTTCCTGTAGGTACTGGAGACTGTATCAGTTCCCACAGAATATGAGTTTTTTTTTTTCAAAATACCACAATAAACACTTTATTGATTTGTGTTATACAGGTTACGGTACATTAAATATAAATGGAAAATAAATTTTAAGACCTCAATATAAATAGAATTAACTAAGTTTTATTTAAGTTAAATGATAAATAAAACTTAAAATTTAGCAGGATTTTATTTATTTTTAGTACCATAGCGGTACATATAGGCCTAATTTGTACTTTGGGTACAAAGTTTAAGTTAAAAATCTGTTTTGGATTTTTGAAATGTACATTAAGATAAGTTTACATTAAATAAAATAATTACCTACACCTATAAATTAATCTTTAAGCTCCCTACAGTACTAGCCATGTTGGCCGAGCTTATGGGTTTTTTGTGATTTTCATGATACTGTAACTTAGCTTAAAAGTAAATATCAAAGATGAAATTCATACAGCAGTATAACAACCATAAAAGGGGTTTTTGGTAAAAATTTCAGATTTTTAAACTTTGTCCCAACAAAAATATTGAGACTCAAAATTTGAATTTTTCAAAAAGTTTCAGTTTTTGAAAAATGATAACTTTTAAAGGAATTAAGTCTCATGGTTGATATTTGAAATACAAACAGTTCTACTGAGTTGCTACACACAAAAAAAAATTAACTCTGAGATTTTATTCGTTCCAATGGTAATACGCCTTCAAAAGTTGAAATTTTTCTGTTTTCTTATGAAATGTTGAGATGGGTTTAAAACTGTTTTTGATACACATTTCAATAAATATGTACAGAACATAATATTTAGGCTGTTTCTTCCAGATTAAAATGCTTTTTGTTTCATCACTCTAGTGTTCATGGTTACCGAGTTGTGCAAGTTAACGCAAACCCTTACATGAGCAAAAATTTGCGTGTTCCGCAAAACAAAAATGGCCGCCGTAGAAGTAACAAAAGAGATAAAAAAAAATTAAAAATCACTTTTGAACCCAGAATTGATAGAGGTATCTAGGATAAAATTATTATTTATTTTAAAAATGGTCAAGCAACCAATTATTTTATTTCTGGATCACTTGATATGGATTGACCCAATAAGGTTGCTAGTTTTCTTGGTAACATCCCTTTTTCAACCAATTTTTACGACTGAGGCATTTGAAAGCTTATGATCTAGCAGAGGGACGATTAGCAGCTTAAAAAGCAAATTTTGTTTAGGTCTTTGCCCTTAGTGTATGATTTATTATTAGAGCTCACTTTTACAGATCCAGTTAAAAATGGTGATCAAATTTCTTTATGATGGTTGTAAAATTGTAATTTAATTTCTAACTTGAGCATAGTAGGCCTAAACTCTGTAGAGGTAAGGCAATTTTTGCGACTGTGCAGACATATTTTTGAAAATCCATGTAAATTCAACCAATAAAGCTAACCTATTAAACCATATGCTTGGTTTGTTCGTAATTTTATGATAAAGAATTTGAAAATGTAAAATAAATAATTTAAAAAAGTTGTTTTTGAAATAAAGTAGGCTAAAAAAACTAAGAAAAAAATAATAGTCCTAATTCTTTTTGAAAAGTTGAAAGGAGTTCAGCTTTGTCATGAACAGGATATGTTTAACATGAAATCCAAGATCGACAACATTTTTCTAATTTATCTCCCTTTAGGCCTATAGAAATGTAAATATATTTAAAATAGGCCTACAATTATTTTTTTAGGTAGGTACCAGTAGTCATGACAACAAAAACAACAAAAGAACTCAGTGAATTCCAACCGCCATAAATGGGTTTTGCAATAATGGACTTTAACTTACACCACACTACACTGTTTTAACAAACTTCCCACGCAAAGATTTTGTACAGAAAAGAGCTGTTTGCCACCAGCTTAATCAAACAAGATTTTCATTACGTACTTTTACTGTACTGTAATGACTTTTTACAAGACACCAACCAGCTGGTTATATTTGTTCTGACTATAAACAAAAACATAAGAGGTTATGAGTACCGTAATGATTGTTAGTCTTTTAGTCGGTAGGAATTAGAGATTTTTTATAGTTAAGTTAGCTTAGAGTAGTATGGCGTAATATATCGTACATCACTCGTCCCAAATGTGTTTACCAGACTCGTATGGTAATCCCGTACTTAACTTCGTCTCGCACGGGAACGACCACACTCGTCCGGTAAACACATTTTCAATTTCGTGGTAGGAGACAGAAGCCAGGTAATATAAACCTTATTAGTACCGGTACCTATTTTCAGGACTAGTAACGTAATATACTATTACGAAGAAACAAATTTTACCATCAAGCAACTCATATATTGGCCTACTACACTTTTTATTTGAGGGTATGCCATTTAAAAGTTAACAGTGAGCAAATAAAAAAAAAAAAGATGATAACATATGTTTTACGACTGTAGTCACTCCACCATTTCACAAACACTTAAAAAGTGACTGAATTGTTACTGTTTTGAGGGTATCGGTATCATATGAAAGGTTATCAAAATAATATTTAATTTATATATAATAATGGCAATGTAATGCTGATCGGCTAATAAATTATAAATACCCCCGCCGCAGCAAACCTGCAGACTAAGCGAATTTCCATTTCCCTGAATGGATTTACACTAAAATGTCTCCTTAAAATTATCACATTTATTCCCTATTTAAATAGAATCAGTTTAAAACATACTTAGGTTTGCTGCAACAGGGAGGGTAAAAGTGTTTTTTATGTAAAATGTTAATAGTTAGTAAGAAATAAAAACATTTTCCAAATTTGGGCAAAATATGTTTATAAACAAGCAAACTACAACAGTTTACTTATTCTCCATAAGAATAACATGGGAATTTTAAATTTACAATTTTTTGGAATTTTCTCCGTAACCATTAGGCGCATTATAACGCTTCAATATACTAAATTATTTGTTTTTTTAAGCTCTACAAAATAGTTTCAAAAGAAATTGCAAAATTTTATGTTTTTTGGGTCAAAAATGGGAAAAACCCATTTTTTTCCCATAAAATCCCCCATAAACCCCCGTTCCCATGGTCCGATCATGCTGATTCGCGAACTCGTTCGAATAAACGTAGGTTTACACGTTTGTACCAAATTTAATCAAAATCGGATCATTTTTGCTCGAGTTATCGCGCTAACGGACACACACATATATATATATATATATATATCTATATATATAAAAGGCAAAGCCCTCACTGACTGACTGACTGACTGACTGACTGACTGACTCACTCACTCACTCATCACTAATTCTCCCACTTCCCACTTACCTAGGAGGCTGAAATTTGGTACACTGATTCTTTAGGCATTAAATAGGAAAACTAAGTGGTTTTTATTCTGATCGGACTCTCGGGCTCCGCCCCAGTGGCTCTGGAGTTTCCCATGTTAACCTAATGAGTACTCATATTTAAATGGAATTAATGAATCATAACAGCTGTTTCAATTAAACAAGTTGGTTCTGTTCTATGATGTTCAATAGCATTAAAGTTACAAGGATTACCAACAGAGTGCAGCACTATTATTTTTTTAAATATTTGACAACAGCTAATTTTAAACCAAAAGGTGAGTGAGCGTAGCGAACGAACTTCAACCTGGAGGCGAGGTAGCGTAGCGAACGAGCTAACCTGAAGGCAAGTGAGCGCAGCGAACGAGCTCCAACCTAAAGGTGAGTGAGCGTAGCGAACAAACTGATTAACTTTTTCAACCAGGACGTGTGAGCGCAGCGAACGAGCTCCAACCTAAAGGTGAGTGAGCGTAGCGAACGAACTTCAACCAGGACGTGATTGAGCCATGCGACCGAGCTCACGTATGAACTTAAACGGGGCAAAGCCCGCGGGTACAGCTAGTATAAATATATATATATATATGAATTTGAACGGATGGTGTTTTTGACCTCTAGGGACCTCAAAACGAAAAAAAAAAAATCGGTCCCGGGTCCAGGTCTTACCGTGAGTACTACGGTAATAGCTTATTCCCTATATGGGAAATTCGCTAAAAAAGACAGATTTTATGTACACTAAGTTACCGGTATGAAAAAATAAATTTACTTCTCATTACAGTAGTAAGTTACCACCCTTTCCTTTGTAGAAAGAAAATATCCTTGCTGTGACTTTTTGAAATACTGTAGCCTACACTATGTTTGGCAGTTTTATGACGCGTACATGGTGCAACTGGCTTTGTTTGAAAATTTCCTTCACTTTTGTGCTAAATTACATCCATTTGTTTGCATTATACAGTTCATTTATGTAATCAAATAAAAGTATGGAATGTATCCTGATAATTAGACCAATTTGTTAATACCAAGGCAAAAATGTGGTTCGGATTCCACTATAAACTGTAGGTCCCTTAGTTGCCATTAGCTGTTTGGGCTATTATTTAACAACTGTATGTCTAAGTAATATGTCGGCCTTAGTCACTAACAAGACTACAAGATCGCGCCACTCATCCTACACTCATCTCCATTCATACTTGGCTTAAAATACCTAATTTGTATGGTCGCCATTTCATTGAAAAGTATTAAAAAGTATTTTTCAAATAATGTACAAACTATTCAACTCGTGAATAATTTCTAACTATTTGTTTGGAATTTAAAAAGCCTTACAAACTTTACTATTGTAGCATGGCCACATTTACCTCCAGGCCGCGGCCTTCAAAGTGGCAACGTCGCAAGTAGGGTTGTAACAGCTGTTTTGTTTGGAAGCAGCTAATGGTATTTGTGTTGTTTACCTTTTGATTGCCAGGTATTTGTGTATTTGAGCTTGGTTACTGGACTATAAAAATATTGACTCCGCTTTAAATGTACAGTATAGATTTTAAATTAATTTTGTTTTGGTTTTCAATTCCGCATCTTTTATTTTCAATATTTTAATAAAAGTATGTTCACAAATTTAATTTTAAATCAATAAAGTGTGAATTAATGAGCTGATGTCACCTGTCTGCCATGTTATCTTATGGGATGTATGACACTAAACAACCCTGCTTACGACGTTGTCAATTCTACCAGGCCGTGGCCTGGAAATAAAGGCGGCTGTGATTGTAGTCACTGCCACTACAGACACCACTACAGGCTGGGGAGCAAGCTGGCGTAGTGGTTAGAGCACGGGACTTCAGTCCTTGAGGTCCCGGGTTCGATCCCCGCCAAGTCACCAATGGATTTTATCTAAGTGATAATGCTGCAACCCCTAGGTCTAGCCTGACGTTAATGTGAAAAATAATCCCAGGCTCGTGCCTAGCGTCGTAGGGGGGAAAAAACTACAGACACCACCTATTGTGATTATTTAGTCGCAGTGCTAATAAAGGGTCAATAATAGCTTTTCTTTTAGTTGAATTAAAAAAAAAGTCAGATTGTAAACCGGAGTTGAAGCAGTTTATGGAAATAGAGTTTGAAAAGGCTACTATTTTGTATAATTGTAACCTGATTGAGGTAGATATTCCATTCTTTATTGTCTAGATCTAAAACCAACAAACTCATTGAAAATTAGTAGGCTATAGCTTTATTCTATGTTGTAGCCTAAATTTAAGTTTTAGGTATCAGTATGCACTTATTTAAAATTTAACTATTTAATAAAAGAACATGTGATGTTGAATTAAAAACTAATTTTAAGGACAGTTTGTTCAAAAATATGTGTGAATTTCTGACATATTTACAACATTGTTTTGGTTCCAGGATCTTAATGACATTGCTCTGACAGCAAAGGAAGAACTTATGGTTATTAGACACTACGAGCAAGGAATCAGAGCGTTTTTGCAACAGTTTAAGCCAGTAAAAGAGTCTCTGCCGAGAGAAGTCAAAGGCACCGTCTTCCAGCTTTTCAAGAGATTCTTCACAACCACCTCAGTAATGGAGTTTCATCCAAATGAAATGATGTAAGTTTTTCAATCAACCATGTTAAATGCAAAGTTATTAGTAACTAATTATGTATATGATGTTTAAACTTCAAACGCTATGTTTCCAATGAATATTGATTTTAATATAATATTCTTCTCCTTGAAATATCCTGATTGGGGAAAATGTGATGATTGTTGATAGTGGAGGCAAGGCATGGATTAATTAACATCATTAAAATACAAACTAAACCAGACAATTGACAGTCAGCGTCAGCTAACTAATTTCCTAACTAATACAGTTAATAAGCTTTCACCGCAGATCTATATCTCTATTACGACACTAACTTATCTCATGGTAAGGGGGAGTCATAGCTGGATGATGAAAAATCGGTCGGTCGTCAGTGTGAGCAAATCCGTCGCACAAAAAATCTCAATCACGTAGATAAGCGTGAGAGCGTCCCAGTTGGGCGACTGACATTGCGGCTGCCGACTTGACCTATCAAAGACAAACATGTTGGTTTCTGGTTGTACGGGTCCTCGGACCGACTAATGTGATTGTAGGACTCGAAGAGTGAGGCCCTAAAACGATGTTAAAATGAGGCATTCTTCAACAAAAATTGGCTACATAATGTTTGTAGTCTTCAATGTAAAGTCCTTCTTCAATTCGGTTACAATGTATTCAAATGCATCCGCTGACATCCTAGTGCAGTTTTTCAAAAGTTCAAGATACAATCTCAACTTATCATTCAAGTGGTGAAACTCAACAAATTCATACCTTGGAAATCTCATTATCTCATCATCACTCTCATCACTCTTGCAGTCCAATGATTTCTGCTTAAGGTAAGCATAGATTATATAAGAACCGTCCAGCAGCACGAATTACATCTTTTCTCAACCGATACCATGGTAACAATGGTCAAATGGAGAGGAACTGCTGTCTGTCACTGCGACAGCTGCACAGCCCAGTGTGGATACTCAATTGCATCGTCAGACAAGACTCACTCGCACAGACAACCGACTGATTTTTGTCGCTCAGCTAGGACAGATCCAGTACTGATTAACTTGTTATGTTTCACTCCCAATTGCTTGTTTTTAGCTACATGTGTTTTGGTAATAAACTAAAATAAAAATATCCTTTGACACATTTTGAACAGAACGTAAATAAAGATACGTCTTACAACACGTGAAACATATATTTACGCTTATACTGTTACTCACAAGACAGTAAATATACTAAAGATGGTAAGTGGTGATCGATTTCGATTGGTCACTCCAATCATCATCAGACCCAAAAGGCGAATGAATTATATTTACCGTCTTGTGAGTAACAGTATAAGCGTAAATATATGTTTTAAGTGTTATAAGACGTATCTTTATTTACTTTCCGTAAATTTAATAACATGTACAATGCTGATCAAGAAGTTATTTACATTTTGAACAAGCAAAAGCTTTATTTCGAGGGATAAGTTTATTTCCAGCTATGTTATTTTCTCACTGTAACCATTTAGTAGGTATTTTAATAGGTTTTTAGCATTTAGAGATCAACTGAGAGAACTGCAAAGTGGCTGACGCTCAAGGCAAAACGGTCACACCCGCGACTGTAAAGGAGCAAAATGTACCTGAAGACAAACATTTTAAACTTTTTAGTGAATTGCTGAAATATAGTATGTTGAAGCGTTGTTGTATGCCTAACGGTTAACAAAGAAAATTCAAATAAACTGGAAAATTAAAAATCCCATGTTATTTTAACGGATAATAAATAAACTGTTGTTCTTTGCTTTTTTATAGATATATTTTAATAAAATTTGGTTATTTTGTTCATATTTTCATACTAAGCTATCTAAATTTCAATAAATAACCTCATTACCTTCCCAGCAGCAGCAAAACCTAACTACCCATTAAAAATTAATGTTATTTATATAAGAAGAACTAATTTTGAGGAATTTTGAACTAACTATTTAAGGAAATATTTTGGTGTAAATATATCCAGATAAATGGAAATTTGTTTGCAGGTTTGCTGCGGCAGGGGTATTTTTTTACTTCATAGAGAAATTTGTTGTAACTAAGTGAAACACATTTGAGTGTTTGATAGCATTTTAGTTATGAACTCGTAATTTCTTTTCAGGATCACCTGCATCTATTTGGCATGTAAAATCTGCGAATACATGATACCGATTGACCTATTCGTGGAGAGCATCGAAGGGGATAATAAACTACTCCGTTTTATCATCATTGATCAGGAGCTCGAGTTGTTGGCTCGAATAAATTTCAACATACACATTGTAAACCCATACCATGCTGTGGATGGCCTCATGTGCCAGTTGAATGTGAGTCTTGTCACTATAAGCTTAAGTTAGGGATGAAGAGGGCTAAAGAAATTAGGGATGAAAAGGGGTTGTATTATATATTGGCAGGGTAAGATTTTCATTTATAGGCAGCAAAATAAAATTGAGTTGGTTTTTTACCATTCTTACAACTTTTATCTTAAGGCATGTTTGATATGTTTACCAGTAGAAAACTTTCTCAGCATTAGTAATCATAAAATGTTATAATGTGTATCTATCAGTTGTGTAGTGGAGCGTAAACGCGTAGGATTGTTCCAATTATGCTTGTTTAAAAATCATCTATCTATATATTAATAGGCAAGCATGTTTCTTTAAAACCTTTTTTCTCAGCTCGTGTGAATCGTAGGGAAAATCTACGCATACCGTTGGAAAGCTATTTTCCTGTAGGTGTGCAGAATCCCTTTATAAATTTAAATAGGCTCAAAGATAAGCACAAAAAATGAGTTTAAAAATTTGAAAAAATTAACATGGATCTTATGCGTTGCTATGCTGGTTACGAAATAACAACGAAATATAAACAGAAAATCAAAACAAATGGAGGAAACTCCAATCACATGTTTTATTTACAGTGTGGGGTGAAAATAGATAAGTGAGTACATTACATATTTTTGGTCGAGTTTCGACCACTGGACGACCTCTCGTACTTTATTAATAGACAGCCTGTGTTTTTCCCGAGACGATGATAAATGTTCCCATACAGGAAAACTAAGCTGTAGTTTTAGTTTAGGGTTTCAGTTTTTTATTTAGAAATCAAGTTGTGATTTAAATAAAGTCTAGCAGTCAACGCTAACAATTTAAAGTAGTTTTAGTGCTGGTTTAACCGACAGCTGGTTTCAAACTGTCATTGTAATGTTCATGTTACACGTTATGTATTTACAAAAATACTGATCGTCAGTGTTTGCCTGCATACTATTTCACTTTAAAATGCATTTTTTTTATTACCGTAAAGTATCTGCGTTATATAGCATTGTGTAATTTAGAACTGTACAATATAATACTTCTCAAAAACTTGTAGCCTAATCAAGTTGGTTTGTCGTAATTGCAGTGCGTTAAGTAAAAGTTTATGCCATGAGAATTTTAACTCATGTTTGAGAAATATTTTTTCAGCAAACTATAGCTTAACCTTTTAAGACATAAGTGGTTTATGTGTTGATACTTATTTTTCTTGATGTTTGAATATATGAATGATTAGGTGTATGTAGCCTAATGTTAGCATACCAAAATTTTGGTTGCTATGGTAATGTCAAGACGGTGTTAGTAGTAGGTCTCTAGAAAACTATCTAATAAGCTGAAGGGTGTCAGCAATCAGCAGAAACCAAAATCAGTTCATACCATACCATAAAAATCCCAGTAGTACTGTATGGTCCAGAAACAAGGGCATTGACTAAAGAACCGAAAAACATTATTGCTGGGTTTAAGAAAAGAGTGCGGAAAAAAATATACGAACTAGTTCAAGATAACGGAGGTTGAGGTTGAAATACAAAAGAATACAAAGCTAAGAGAAATGTATAAACACCCAGATATAGGGGTGCTTTACAAAAGTAAAAGGTCAGATGGGCAGGCTATGCGTTGTGGATAAACTTAAGTAGGTGGATTTTTAAGAAATGCATTACAATGGAACAAACAAGAAATATTTTCAGATGGATAGTAAAATAGTAACGGATTTAAATAGCTTTTACAGCGGCAATGTAGCTTTCGGCTTCAGTGAAATTCATATTTTTATTAAGAAGGGGTTATAATAAGAATTGAGGTAGGGATATAACTTTTAGCGAATTTCCCATATAGGGAATATTAGCGAATTTCCCATATAGGGAATAAGCTATTACCGTAGGTCTCATGGTAAGACCTAGACCCGGGACCGATTTACTTTTTCGTTTTGAGGTCCCCAGAGGCCAAAAACACCATCCGTTCAAATTCATATATATATATATATATATATATATATATATATATATATATATATATATATATATATTTATATATATATATATATATTTATATATATATATATATATGTTGTTCAAAGGTTTATTGCGGACATTTTCCATCACGAATGTAAAAAACAATACACAACGTTTATAAATATATATATATATATATTTATATATGTGTCCGTTAGCGCGATAACTCGAGCAAAATTGATCCGATTTTGATGAAATTTGGTACAAACGTGTAAACCTACATTTATTCGACCGAGTTCGCGAACCAGCATAATCGGACCATGGGATCAGGGGTTTATGGGGGGTTTTATGGGGTAAAAATGGGTTTTTCTCATTTTTGACCCTAAAAACTTTAAATTTCTAAATTTCTCTCTAGACCATTTTGAAGAGCTTAAAAAAACAAATAATTTAGTATATTGAAGTGTTTTTGAATGTTCATTGACTACGGAGAAAATTTAAAAAATTGTAAATTTAAAATTCCCATGTTATTCTTATGGAGAATAAATAAACTGTTCTAGTTTGCTTGTTTATGGATATATTTTAATCAAATTTGGCAATTTGGTTTATTTCATACTAAGCTATCAATATTTCAATTGAAAAAACACACCTCAACATCTTCCCCGTAGCAGCAAACCTAACTACTCACTAAAATTAATGTTATTTAAATAGGAAATAAATCTGAAAATTTATAGGGAATATTTTAGTAGAAATCAAGCTGGGTAAATGGAAATTCGCTTAGTATGCAGGTTTGCTGCGACGGGGGTATTTTTAATGGTACTTAAAACCGCCTAGCCTATCACATTTTTTCAGTATGGCATTAGATAAAGAGCCATAGCACTAAGAGGGTTAATCCACTGTTAAGTGTTAATTAATTCATAATAATCCCTACTCAAAACTTGCATTTCCTATGGCTAGAATAAACTGAAATATTTAAAATGATGAGTTTCCCCTACATTTTGAACACAATTTCCAGAAGAGGGACCATGGACCCCCTAGAGCCCCCTATAATTTTTTTCTGGGTGGACCACTGTGAGGACTGATAGATATCCTGGCACTGTAAATTACTTACTATGTTAAGATTTACTTTTGCTTGTTGTAGTCTTGCCACAAGATTCACAACCCTAACCGTCTTCAAGAATACATTTACAAGTTCCTTGGTGACATGTGGCACACAGACGTGTGTCTTCTGTACGCTCCCAGTCAGATCGCTCTGGCAGCTGTGATGTTTGCGTGCAGCCGTTGCAAGGAGAACATCGACGAGTTTGTCATGAACACGATCCTGAAGAACCCTTCCAAAGAACAGAGAAACCGCATCATCAGTGTTGTACGAGGTGGGTACACTTTATACTTGTTTTGCATAAAGTTTCATAACTGACTGGGTCTTCTTGACCTTAGAATTGCGAGACGTGTAGTTGTATCTTGATATTTCAATTGGTATGGGACTTGGAGAGTTTTGGATACAGATGATAAAAAACGTTGAATTGCTTGCTGTAAATACTACTAAATTTGATCTTCAACCTAAGAAAAGTCAACTTGTAAAGCCGCATTCGGTAATTCTTAGTTATTAGGTGTTCAATTTGAGTGTTAGCTTTGATTATTGATAAGTTACAACACTAGTATCCAAATGTCAATGGTGTTACATAATCAGCCAAACTATGAATACAGAAAAATAAAGAAAACAATGGCAAGTTAAAGCAGAATTAAGTTAGTACATAAGTTTAAATGATAAAAATTTCAGATATTTTAAAAGTTGAATTGACAAATAGTCAAACAAGCCACAGAAATGTAGGTACTCATTCTTCCTGATAGTTATTCTCTATGATCTCGTCAAACTGCAACTGAAGTGATTGTAATTGCAATATCAAACGATCAAGTGATGGAATATCAAGAGTCAATTAAAAACTTACAGTCAAGCACTTAAAAACTGTCCTGTAAATTATATCAGTTGTCGTTTCACTGAAGTAGGATTTACTCATAAGAATTAAATTACAGTTTTTTGCTATTTAAATTAATATTGTAAATAACAACTTGATATTCTAATTTAATAAATTATTTATTACTCTTTCATTATTGGTTTACTCGTTGTAAATTGACAGTTAAAAATTTACTCTAAATACACTTTTTTTAAATGATTAAATGTTACCGGTACTTGATCACTGCCAGTGCATTCAATCAATCATTTTTTAATCATACTGCATGGAAATGGCGGTTTTTATCACATGCCTTATGGTGTATAGTCAGGCCCCCGAATCTAGGGTGATTTGTGTTCTGGGATCTATATAGCTTTGCCCCGCCCCCCCACATAAAAAATGTTCTAAAATTAGAGTTGTAAGAGTTGTTTTGGAGCTCCAAAGGTTATTTATATTTTGTATTGTTGGCAGACATACGTACCAAAGTGCAAGCACCACGTGAATTACCCACAACGGAGGAAATTTCATCCTACGAGACACGGATAAATACGTGTCGCAGTCCTCACAACAATCCCAGCAGCGAAGTGTAAGTACCACAGACAGTAAACATAAAAACACTATACTCCGTTCAAAAATATTAGGCAGTTTTAGAGGAAGAAATCCATCCTCTCCACCTAAACCTACCTTTAAAACATTAGCCCAACAGCTGAGGTTTGCCAAAATATCAATAAGCTGAAGCAAAATAAAAAGCAATGTTGGAACTTCCTCTATAACTGTCTAAATTTTGTGAACTTTATCGGAATAAATACACACACGTGTTTGGATGCGCTGTTTTAAAGGTGGTCGTTATTTTACATACTAAGTGTTGTGGCCTTGTGTATGCAAACATATTTTGTTTAGTTTGATTATTAAAAATGGTTGCTTTATTTGAAAAAAAAAAATATTTTACAATATATAATTGATTGATAAAAATGTGTAACGTCGTTGATGACTTATTTAACACTATACTAGGGGCCACGAGAGTGCAGTTGGCGGCAGCCAATACTAAGACTGGACTAGCGTGATTTTACAACATCACCCGTTCACCTATTATGCCAGTTGACCCACTATTAACACATTACTATTATAGTTTTGGAATAAACTGTCTACCTGTTTTGGTATTAGTATTGCATTTTTTCATTTAATAAATTGTTTTCTAGGTTTTGAAAAAGAATTTTGTAAAACAATTTAAGTACTTACTGCTGTAACCACTGGTACCCTAAATGGTACTTGCCTCCCCAAAACACTGCCTCCATACATCTCTGCGTCTTGCATCCTTCTTACTTCTTCCAATTAAAGTATGGAAATTAAATATAGATACATATTTTTTACAGATTCAAAAGAAGGATGCAAGAGTACATTTTGGACAATTACTCTCACCCCCACTCACCTTCTAATACAGTAAGTAAATAGTAAGAAGAGGCAGTAGCAGCAAACCAGATGTACCAGATGTACTAGATGTGCCAATTAACATCTAGAACTTCATGTTGAATTTTATGTCCAAAGACATCTTTAGAGGAAGTATTTTTTGTTTTATTACTTTAGTAAATTGTTAATTTACTAAAACCAAGCAACTTGGTTTGAGTTGGTTATTTTTATAAATTGAATTATGATATTGTTTTTTACTGACAAGTTTGATTTTATTAAAGTTTTACCATTGAGTATACACGTACTAGAGTAGCCACCCTTTCAGAACCGGGGAATCTTTGACCTTTCAACCGTTTTAATTCCCGAGCAAATTTTGAACAAATGTTGGTTTTTAACCTAGATTTCAAATACTAAAATTTTAAGTTAGTTTTGTTTTAAAGACGAAACCTTCATAATACCATATAACCATTTCAGTTTCAGCAACAATTAGCATTATATACGTTTAAAAACGTAAATAAAACAGTCATTTACCTTTACACTTTCCTCTTTATCCTATCTTACCATGACATTGCAACAAAACAATCAGTGTTACCATAAGACATGAAGGCAGACTGCAAAACAAAAATTCCCAGCTAATCTCCATAACTTACACAATCGATGCGTACAGGTCTGACCAGCAAAAAGATCCAGACACTTAAAAAAAAAAAAAACAAATAAACATTTAACCTACACAATAGTGTTGGTTAGGTTTTCAGGACTTAAACATTTACCTACACAAATGAGTGTGCTGGGTCTGAAAGGGTTTTAATGGAAGTTATCGTTACCTGAACAGGTTTTTTTATTATTGCTTTCATTGTAGGTTGTAAAATGTCATTTTTGTTGATGAAATTCATTTATTTGTTCGTAGTCATTGTTTTATAATACATTTTAATTACTAAATGATTAAAAGGTCCGAACTAAGTTGCCAAAATCGGTAACAACCATTAGCATTATCTGCCCCTTCTTATACGTGTGTACTCAATGGTTTTAAAATGATTTAAGTTAATGTTGAAAAATACAGTTTGAGAATTTATAGTCTTATTATTAGGTTTAAGTTTGTATTAAGGTTGTGCTTGGGTGTTTATTTTATTGTTGTCAAAATGTATTAAGTTCTTGCAATTAAGTTTGCTATACATAGCAACAAAAAAAAATCTGAAAACCTTTATGGATGTGAAAAATTGCAAACTTGGGACCAGATTTGCTGGATCATAGCCCGGTGATTAGGCCTTGTTAGTAATTCTGATATACTTTTCTTACGCTAGTCATGGTAATAAACAATTTTTATCCCACCCAAGGTCGCACTCACCAATTCACCACCCTCCGGCCAATTCTCTTCAGGCTATGAAATGAACTATATTGCTATTAGTACAATTTAAACAAAAAATAAACAATTCACTTGTCGTGACAACAAAGGCAGAAGTTTATTTCTCTTTAGTACTCCAATAATTTTCTTTGGTTCTCAAAAAAATAAAGTGATAGCCAGTGGGTACTGTTTTTAACACTTCTGGATTCCAACGTTTATCTAATTTAACACCTATTTATAAACATTACCTTCTCCCGCCAGTTATATTTGCGTTGAGTATAGTACCAGGAGACTGAGCCAAGATTTGCTAAGTTGCCTTAAATTAGGTTCAAAAATTAAAAGTAAATCAAACAGACGGACGGAAATTCTGATACAATTTAGCAAATCTATATATTTTTTACCAAGTTATTTAGATTTACATTTTCCCCCTGTAGAAGAAAACTTTGTACTCGTTATTTGTAGTGTTGATGCATTATATAATAAATCTTATAAAAGAAAAAGAATTTCACCTAGTTGTCGCGAGTATTTAAACAAATAATATATTAGTTGTATAAAGAATTAACACTTTGCTGTATTTTACTTTTTTCACCATTGGTTTCTTTTCCAAATCAATACATTTCAAGATTCAACCTCATATTAGGATAAATCAGTATCGACATGTATTCAAAAGTAGTGTATTCCAGCCTCTTGACTTACTACCACCATCGGGGGTAAAAAAACTCAGCAACACTCGGGCTCACCGCTCCACTATGTTTTCACCCTTAGGTTGTGTGAATGTGAGCTGATCACAATTCACAACCACTAGGCAGACACGTGGTGGAGACGTGGAGGTAGACAGGCGGCGGAGGGGTGAGCGCTAAGTCGCTAACAGTACTAGTGCTGCAATCTGTGCAAAATTTCATGATTCGCCCTAGCACAACCTTATAGCCTCATGACAAAGAGAAAATTGAGCTATGTTTCAATCACGAGATATAAGTTAATGTAAAAAAGCAATATTGTGCAATTCTTTAGTCACTAGATTAGTAAAGTTACCTCACAAAGGTCAAGGTTAGATTATTAAACTAACCTCACAACAAAGCCTTCAGTGATCGGTTGTATTAAATTTATATGTCCGTTATAAACTACTTATCTGATTGTCAATAAGACCCCTCAAAAATATATTTAGTGTAACAAGGTTTTTAGTTCCTAAACCAGTAAACCACCGAAGTCTTCTCCACAAAATATATTTTTTGTTAACTAGGTTTTTAGTTCCTAAACCCCAGAAGGCTTCTCCTCAAAATATATTTTTTGTTAACTAGGTTTTTAGTTCAAAAACCACAGAAGGCTTTTCCTCAAAATATATTTTTTGTTAACTAGGTTTTTAGTTCCTAAACCACAGAAGGCTTCTCCTCAAAATATATTTTTTGTTAACTAGGTTTTTAGTTCCTAAACCACAGAAGGCTTCTCCTCAAAATATATTTTTTGTCGACAAGGTTTTTAGTTCCTAAACCACAAAAGGCTTCTCCTCAAAATATATTTTTTGTCAACAAGGTTTTTAGTTCCTAAACCACAGAAGGCTTCTCCTCAAAATATATTTTTTGTTAACAAGGTTTTTAGTTCCTAAACCAGTAAACCACCGAAGTCTTCTCCACAAAATATGTTTTTTGTTAACTAGGTTTTTAGTTCTTAAACCACAGAAGTCTTCTCAAAATATATTTTTTGTTAACTAGGTTTTTAGTTCCTAAACCACAGAAGTCTTCTCCTCAAAATATATTTTTTGTTAACTAGGTTTTTAGTTCCTAAACCACAGAAGTTTGTAACCTAATTTCATTGATAACTCCTAACACAAAATAGACGCTCCGGTACCAAAAAATCAAAATATCTTAAACATTTTCTCTCTTGAACAGACAATGGTGATTGAATTAAACATGTAAAAATCACTGACTGACTCTTTCTTGCCTTCTGAGAGCCATATAGAATGTTATAAAAGTGACAAGGGTTTTATTTAGCTTTAGAATATTGTTGTTAAAGTCTATCACTAAGTTTAAACTGTTACCTGGAAGGCTGATAAGAAGACTGATATTATGTGACTTAAATAACTAAGGTAGCTCAATGTTGAAGTATTTTATAGTCTTTTGTTGTATTGTGATTTTATGAAGTTACGGGTTACTCAAAGAGTTTCTGATTGTTCTTATATTAAAGTTGTTAAGACATATTTTGCTTGTTCTTTTCACCTTTATTTAAATTATTACAAAACCCCATTATTATTGAGTATGAGCAATGAACTTTGTAAATATTGATAGGGATTCTCAATCTTTATTGGTGTTTAGTAGATACCTATAGGCCTACAAATGGTTGTGTTTTATCTGTTATTTAAAATGTACAACCGATACATCAGAACAATGTGTTTTGTCGTAAAAATGGTAATGCAATTTTTTTAAAGTAGTAATGCTACTGAATCAGAGTGGTAACACATATTTTAATTGCACTTTAATTGGCTTTTGACATATAATTGAGTGAGTAGTAAGGTTAATTAATTATTTATTAAATATCTTTGCATAAATGTTTCACATTCATTTTCATATATGTTTTATTTGGAACAGTTACTGTGATCGTACAAACTTAAAGATGTGCATTGTTTAACCTTAGCCCTCGATATATTGTGCGCTGATCCCAAATACTTTCAACCTTCCATATCTGAAATTATGTGTTGTAACTACGGAATGTAAAAATGAGATTTCTTATAATTTACTTTTACTACTTTAGACCAAGGTAATTATCAATCAATTGTTAATCAAACTAAACAATTACATATATTTCCGACCTCTAACTACAAATTACCTTTAGAAATACTGTTATAAAGGTAAAATAAAAATAACAACAGTAGAAAATATTTTATCGTGAAAAATTATACTACAAAATCCTGAGCGAGTTTCTCTCTGGTTGTGATGTTTAGCTAAACAATCCCGTAACTGCGTCCAAGACATCAGACAGTGTGTTGCCCAAAGCTCCTACGGCCCCTTTTACGTTAATGATGCCGTCCAAAGATAGCTCTCCTCCAGTACCGAGCAGTCCGGGTGTGCCCTTGCTCTGAGGTATGGCTCTGCCTTCAGCCTGTAATATATCAACGTTCTTAGTCTTGATGAGTTGATGAGTCATGTTCGGGCTGAACAAGATACATAGCAGAGCCATGTCCGTCCCCTCTGTTTCATTTCTTATAAAAATAAAAATAAAAATTAATGAAACTGACAAAGGTTTTTCAACGTGAATCTACCGCTGTTCTGTTGTTAGGTCACTCGTTTGGCCCGACTACGATACCAGTGACTGAATTTTTTATAATAGACATTCTTCGGGACAATCGCATAGTTTGCTTGTTCGCAATTCAAAGCCTGTTTATTTTCAAAGTTTGTGTTTTTTATATTATTTTTTATAATGATGGCTTTTAAAAAGTAAAAAGTTAGTGGTTTTAATGGAAAACTTTAACGCATAAATAGGGTTAACAATGGAGAAACATTAATAATAAATAGTTATTTACATTTTTACAATGGGTTGTTTTGATTTCTTGTGCAATCTGGCTGCAGCTGGGTTCGGTAAGATAGACACAACCACAATGCCTGATATAAAGATTTATTTGTGTCAAGTATAAAAATATTCTGTAATATAATGCAATATTATGAGTATTATGAGTTTTTATTATGTATCTAAGTATCTCTTAAGCAAGTCATATTTTAGTTTTTTTATTAACTAAATTGTTTTAGTATTTACAATATTTTAGACATATTTTTTTATCAACCAGTTGACTGTACATTTCAAAAATCTAACCATCTCTACATTTTATTCAAAGGTCTTGGGGTAACAAAAGAAAATTATTGCATTTCCAAAGGCTCAAGCTGTTAAAAAAAGGTTCAATCGAAAATCCCAGGCTCTCACACACTTATATTTAACTTTATAAATACCCATCTCAAAATATCTAAAAGTTAAAAAAAAACAACAGCTTATATGTAATAGCTTACAATTTGTCCTTCCCAACAAATGAATCCAACGATATTAAAACCATCTCACATCCTGATTTAGATGTCTATTTTTACTAGGGCATGATCCGTCAGCAGTAGCCACCCCGTAATACTTCTCTATTAGCCTCTTAATTTTGTCATCGCTTGGAGGTGGTGATTTCAGGAATTTCAGGAATGGGTTATCTTTTTTCATCTCGCACATGTTTAATGGTACAATTGGGGGGTTGAATTCAGCTTTAGCAATCACGTTGTCTACCTGTAACAGTAAAATGGTTGTGATAAGAATAGTGTTACAAAAAATGTGATAAGCTTTTAAAGGATTGAGGTTCAATTTTGTTGTCAGTAGCATTGTATTAGCCATTTTGTATTCTTGTATTCAACTTTTCATTGGCAATTTTTACAGAGATTTATGATTTTCAGTTAAAATGTCCAAAATTTTCTATTTACTTAATGGAAAATTGTAATGGCCGTCACACTTTGGTGATTATTTTACCCATGCAGGACTTGTTGAGGAAAATGACAAAGTAAATAACAATGTAAATATTCCTTTTTCGCTGTTACAGTTGCTAGATTAACAATTAATCTAGAGACCTAATTGGACTTATTACAATTCAATTTTGCTCCCATCACTTTAATTCATTATGGCGGTTATATGCCTGCGTTAGATTTTTCAATTGCAAGTGGAGGTTTTTTCTTGTGTTTTACGAATTCCACAGACCATTCACCTTGTATGATTTGCATTACAAATAATCTAAAAAATCAAAGTTTGATTTGATATTTTATTTACTTTCCGTAAATTTAATAACACGTACAATGCTGATCAAGAAGTTATTTATATTTTATATTTAATTGAAGATTACTTATCCTGCTATCTTGATAACTTTGAAAACATCTAATCAGTAAAAATGTTTGACATTAAAACTTGTTTATTAAAATTGTTAATCATTTTATTCACAATGTTTTTGTATATAAATTTTATATTTTTTAGTAAATAATGTATGGTTCAACACTAAGAAGTGTTTACATGTTTCAATATGAATTAGTCATATTGTTATCACAATAACAAGACACAACTTTGACTAATACAGCAACCATTCAGTCTTCATGCAAGCGTAAAGTTTAACGAAAACGACCAAAGATGATAGTTACCTAACATATGCCTAATAAAAAAATTGTTTAAATTTTTGTTTTTATCATCCTTTATTAATGTTTCTTTCACAGTATGATCTTAAGTTAATAAAGTGTTTACTCTTAAAGAGTTTTGTTCCCAAGATGCTTTAAACATTGATTTTAAAATCTGCATTCTCACTGAGGACATTGAAACTGCATTTTTTACCACCAAGCGATGTTTTAGTTTTTAGAGTATAAATAAAGAAATAGAGTACTTTAATTTACTTATTTCATTTTAATTTTTAATTTATTAAGTTAAAAATTTAGATGAGGTTGAATTTAAGAGATTTAAGAGGCTAAAAAGTTGGCTGTGTAGGTTTCAATTACCCCCATTACTTTCAATGATTACATATTTACGTGGATTTCAAAGTATTTGAAAAACCTCTTTGTTAATATTAAAGCAAATAGTATGGGGGTTTTATTTCATGCTGAACACCATTTTAATAAATTTTATAATTTTTCACTCTTGTTTTGTGATTTTATCCTATTTTGTTACTAAACAAAATTAAAAATAATTATTGGTGACAAACATAGTGTAGGTTGGAATTTGGAATCCACACAATACATTTTGTTCTTCTGCTTAAAGTTGTTATATTTCAAAAAGGGGATGAGCACTTCCCATTAGGACACCTAATAGAATTTAAAAACATCACCATTTCAGAAAAGTATTTAAAAGATGAATTTTTGAATACAATTCTTTGTTTTGCAGGACTATATGGTTATTTCAAATCTAAAGGTATATTAGTACAAACCGTTATAAATTTAAAAGGATTTTAAATATTTAACATTAATTCTTACATTAGCTGTGAGAACATAATGAGAGTAAGAACGTAAAGGAAGTTTTTACAAAACATTGTTTGATTAACAAATGAAACTGTTAACTTCAATAAATGTATCAGGCATAAAATATGTCAAATAGTACATACCTGACATAATAATAAAACTCCAATTAGGCACAAAAGGGGGAAGGTGATTAAGTAACTCATTATGTTTTAGGAATGTAATAAAAGTAGGAGAGACAAAAATAATTGTAATTCTCTTAGCAGAAATGAACGAGATTCATCTAACACAAATATTTACCTGATAGACTTGTTTGCTCTTTGATAAGAATTACTTGAGAGAGTTCCTTACATCTTCCTAGAGTTCAAAGAACACTTCAGCCCTATGAATGTATAAAGAAACCGATCATGTTCTTCTTGGGGGATATAAGTTATCTAAGTCCAGAGCCATTGGTGTAAACAATACCTTTAAGACTTCTCCTAGCCAAAGAAAATAACAAGCACTTGGAACAGTACAAATAAAAAAATAATATTGTAACCTTTCCCTGTTGGTACTAGCCAAGTAAATTCTAGAAGATCGGTGATAGATAGGATTTAAAAAGTAATCAAGTCAGTGTGAACGTAACATTATGTTTCATACTTAACAGTAACAGCCTCCATTGTAACATATAGGTGTGGTGAAAGTTAGTTTCACTATTTTTCAATAAATCTCATTACCTCAATCTTCTGATGAAAGTCCATAAGTTTTTTTGTAATGTACAATTTAAACATGAAACTGCTTCTTCAAGAAGAACTGGTAATATTGGGTTGAATAAAATTTAAAATAAAAACATCACCAATATTTAATAAATTTTGAATTTCATGGGGCCTTTCACTAGCTATGCTTGATATCTAACTAAATTTAATCATCTCAACACATTATTGTTTTTAATATTTTTCCTACAAAATGCTGGATTTTAAAGAAGATATTAAACAAATATTTTACCTAGGTTTGCTTGTTTGTTACTTTTAACTAAGGATTTGTTTTGTGCGAGGAGTAGATTTCTGGATTTACAACACCAACATCAATACTCATCACAGATTTAGTTTTATCCAATTATTTGAGTCAATTTGGTTTATAGTTTGTGTTCGTATGGCATCTGTTTCTTAGCACATAATCTTATCTATGAAAAATCATCTCACCCAGAAATATAAAATTAAATAAGTCACACAACGCTTGAGTTTCAGTAAAATAAGTTGTAAAAAGATTTAAAATTTGAAAACAATATTATAGTGTTACCATTTCCAAAAATTTAGTGAGGAAAACAACATTTTACCTTCAAAGCAGGGAATTCACTGGTCCGACGCTCTCCGACACGACACCTTCCGACAAAATTACTTTGCATGACTTTTAAACGGTTTTTGAACATCCCTTTCTTTATACAGTACGTTATAAAAGCTGCCTGAACATATTCTGATGCTTTTAATGATGCAAATTCTATTGATTTGAGGGTGATTGGTGCTTAAATTGTGGACCAACTATTATAAAAAAAGATTATGCAAAGAAAGAGCCATCGGATGGACAAATAATGACCTCTTTTACTACTCTAGCAGCCAAAAAACTTACAAAAAACCTGCGATATCTAATTTCTCGTTGGCTACTGACGGAGCCCGTCGGACCAATGGGCCTTTCAAAGTGCGGAAGGCATCGGAAGGTGTCGGAGACTTGTTGGAAGGTGTCGTGTTGGAGAGTGTCGGACTAGTGGGTTTCCAGCTTAAGCCTTTAAAGGCTAGATGAACAGTTTGCTTTGTGATTTTTTTTAATGGCCCTGGGCAATAGGACTCATCAAGTTTCAATGGTTGATCTATATCCATACTCAGATGGCCAAAGTAATCATACCAAATGAGAGGAAGTGAAATAGGTTAATTAAAAAATGATGGCATAAAAAGTGTATAAATATTTTATCCTGATAAAAAGGCTGTAAGATTAACACTAAGGATGTTGTCTAGCAGGCCTCCAAGTAGTTGCACTATAGTTTTGAGCAGGTACAGGAGAGCATTCTGGTCAAGGATGTCTGTGTAACTAGGTTGTTTCTCCTCGGAGCCTTCTCCCTCATCCCCTGACATGACCTTGAACAGAAAGTTTAAACAGCACCAGTGTGAGGTAAGAACATACAACGATACAGATGCACTGCCTGATACATTAGTCTGTGAATAAGTTAAACAATTCAAATGGCTAAGGGCGATTACTAGTGCATACTTGCTGGAGCTGTCAATGGTTGTATTGGATTTTTATATCAAGAAAACTAATTTTGGTTGACAATTCTCTGTAAATATTGAGCCAATTTCAAAATTTCAACATTTTAAGTACCTATCAACATATTGTTCTAACTATGAACAGTAATTTTTTGGGTTGTTTAAAATCTTCACTCTGAATAGAATGATCAAGCCCAAAGTTTCGAGAACTAATGCTCTGATCCAGCCACAAAATATAGTAACTTTAGTTTTTAGCTGCACTGCTCCATGTTTTTCTAAGTTGTCCTAATCAGTTGGTCCTCTGGTTTTGTGTAAGGCCAAAGAACCTAATCTAATTATCCGAAATGTTAGCATTAAAATATTCCAACAGAATTGATATTTCACCATTGCTATTCTAATTATTATACTGTAACTCATCAAAGTTATGTTGTTTCAGTTTTAAACCAAAAATGTACCCCAGGGGAGTAAATTTTGTTACATTTACTTAAAAAAACAAAAACCGATGAAGACCTGTCACTCACAAATGTACACTACACTGTACCTCTTTATTAGTAATTAAGATGAAAATGATTAACCATGTAGATTTTTGACTACAAGCATTAGAAGTGAACCTTTTTAAACTTACTTTCAAGTACAAGGGAAGTGTTTACAAGTTAACTTACATGCCAAAGTTTTAACATGCAGCTTGTAAACTATCCCAGCGAAATCAAGGGAGTGAGGGAGTGTGGCCAGTACACTGGGCTAGTTTACAAACTGCATGTTAGAAAAGCTGGCATGTAGCTTGTAAATAATTCTCATGTACTTGACAATCTTGACATTAATGTAAACTCCATCATAAATATTTTGAAAAACTGTGAGGTGAAACGCTTTCTATTAATACAATTCCCTAGTCGAATTTGTGCTGGGGTATGTTCCTTAAGTTTGAGATTAGTTAATAAGTGTAATGTGCCCAAATGAAAAAAAAAATCTTTGTGATTTATCCACGAATACTAGAAAAATACCGGTATGGATCATGAACATAAGCAAATAACGTTTTTGGCCGGAAAGTATACAACACCCCTATACTAATAGCATTAATTGACAAAGGGTTTTGTTTACCTTCGGGCCAGTCATATGATCCATACCGGGTCTTTTGTAGTATTCGTGGATTTATCACATGTACACTAGGGCCAAGACTTGGGTCTTGGGTGCATGCTACATCAGAAACATCTTGAGCTTTTTTTCAACTCCACCCTACTAAATATAATAACATATGTTGCCTCCAATCATGAACCAAACAGAGGTTGAAATGCACTGTTACCAATTCTGCTGCAATAGTGTCATCATGACAATTTGATATCAGTTGCAGTTTTGTGTAATACACATTTATTCATTTAGATCATTTAACCTGGTTGGCAAAAACTGTACTTTTCTAGGCATCAGAATTCTCATACTTTCTCAGCCTCACTTGGGTAGAAACAGCTGTAAATGTATGTATGCCAGTAGTTAAAATACCCCTGCCGCAGCAAACCTGCAGACTAAGCGAATTTCAACTTGTCTGATTACATTTTTACCAAAATATTTCCATAAATAAAACGTAAGTTATATATTTCCAATTAAAATAACATTAGATTTAACGAGTGCTTAGGTTTGCTGCTACGGGGAAGTTAAAAAGTGTTTTTTGACAATATGTCATTAGTATAGGATGAAATGAATAAATTTACCAAATTTTATCAACATTATATCCATAAACAAGTAAATTACAACAGTTTTCATTTTCTCCATAAGAATAACATTGGAATTTTAAATTACACTTTTTTTGAATTTTCTCCATGACCGTTAGGCATACAACAGCACTTCAATATTCTAAATTATTTCTTTTTTTAAGCTCTACAAAATGGTTGAGAAAGAAAATACAAATTTTTTGTTTTTAGGTTAAAAAAATGGGAAAAACCCATTTTTACCCCATAAAACCCCCCATAAACCCCTGTTCTCATGGTCCGATTATGCTGGTTCGCGAACTCGTTCGAATAAACGTAGGTTTACACGTTTGTACCAAATTTCATCAAAATCGGATCATTTTTGCTCGAGTTATCGCGCTAACGGACACATATATAAATATATGTATATATATATATATATATATATATATATATATGAATTTGAACGGATGGTCGGATGGTGTTTTTGGCCTCTGGGGACCTCAAAACGAAAGGGTCTAGGTCTTACCATGAGACCTACGGTAATAGCTTATTCCCTATATGGGAAATTCGCTAAAAAAAGGAAGGGAAAAATTCCCCTGCAAAGAAGGGGGGAGGGGGCACAATTATCACTCCAGCACATAGCGCACCTGCATACCCGCAGGCCTTGGTCTGTATCTTTTTGTTGTGGGTTTTCCCAAACTTTTTTCTTAGGTATTCCAAAAAATTATCCTAAATAACTCGGTGGGTAAAATTACTACTAACAGGTAAAAGCTTTGCAAATAGTTTAAGAATAGTATTTACGTATGAAAAATAAATTGTATGCTATTTCATAGGCTTTTAAAAATGAGAACGTTATTTCCTCAAAAATAAAAAAAGATCTTAATATATTGGAGTTGAAAATATTGATTAGTTCATCAAAATTAAAGGTGTTGTGAAATAAGAGAGTGAAATTGATATTGATAAATATTTAATATGAAGACTATCCGGAAACAATAGCGGAAATGTTAACATTGAGAATGTTATCAAGTAGACCTGAAACAAGGTTTAAGATGTTTTGGAGCACTCCCAGGAGAGTGTCTGTATCAAGGACGTCTGAGTAACTCGGTTTTTTTTCTTCTGGTGCCGAACCCTCATCCCCAAAAGCGATCTTAGACTGAAACATACATGATGTTTGGAGTAATTGTTGTGTTAGCAAAGTCTTGTTTAAAACAGTCATACAGGTTAAGCTTTCCGAAAGTTTCTGTTTGTTCTCACTTACTGACGCAAAAAGGAAAAAGGTCTTTTAAGTCTCTAAGTTAGTCATTCACCTATATTTGATATATTTTTAGGTCTTTGCCTTTTGAAGAATTTTA